CGCTTGAAAGCCGCTGTAACAAGCAGCTGACCGCAGAGAAGACAAAGCAGATTCCTAAGAAAGACGGCCAAATGGTGGCATCGGGCCGAGCAAGCCATCCCGCCTTCCAATTCTAGCGTAGGGGGTCAGACTAATAAGGCAGCCAACCGGTGGCGCCGTCATCTTAATCGGGAAGAAGGTCATTCTAGCGCTGGGGATTCGTATACTATAAGTGAAGTCTCAAGCTGTGCGGAGTTGCTGTCAGCATTGGTTGACCACGGAAAAATAGGCACCACACCACGGGAATCCGGCAAGGTGATGCATTGAATCTTCAAACCAGCTTCCTACTCGTGCTATTGCTTCTTCAATAATACGGACCGTGTCTCCGCAGAGAGCCATCAAGTTAAGTGGTTTCTGGTGGGGTGGTACTCCGTAGATGTGATGGTGAGAACTGATCTGCTAGGCCCTGCTACTACTAGTAGTATTAGGTCCTCCAGCAAGGATTTCATGGCATGTTGCTGAGTACGGATTCGGTACGGAAACTGACGAAGTCACAATAGTACGACTCGTATGAGATCATTCAATGTCCCCAATGGGGCTTTCCAAACTTGCCAGGAAGTGCATAATCGTATGTAGTACTCGGTAGAAGCAATTCCGCTGCCGATTGAACATGCCTTTCTCACGTGGGAAAGCAATTTAAAGGGGTCGTGTTAGTGGAGTTTCTCCTGCAAGCCCCCAGCCAGGATTCCAGTACTAAACGAGCAGCTACTACATAGTAAATACGAAGTTGTTCAGCAGTTGCTCAGCAGTTGAGGATGACATCAGTGTCGGGGAGCAAATGGTAAACTTCCTGTCGCTATCGTCTATGAATTTTGGAGCTGGTCTGATGCTGCATGCTACAAATGTGCAGTAAACTTCATGGGTTGATCATGAGACAGTGCATATCTCTGGAGTGGTAAGAAACGATGTACTACTGCATCTAGGAGGAGGTCTTACGATGAGCTTCTGCAGCCTTGAATCCTAAATTTCAGTGCTTATCGAGAGCTGAGTCGTCCGCTCCCCGATTGGCTGCTAGTGACTCTGCTGAGGAGCAAGTAAACAAATTGCCGTGATCTGCAATCTCACGGCTCCATTCCACGCTCTATTATAGGATTCGTAGCTCCAAATGGTTGCTGGCTCTAGATTGTGCTTTCGTCTTTCGCAATGGCAGCCTACATGATGATGGGTTACGGTCTTGGTTGGAATTGTGAGCCGTTTCCCATGATGTATTGATCCCATACTGCATTTGGGCTTGGATCGACGACGCCTACGTATGTACCTACGTAGGTGATATTATCAGGCACAAGTATGTATAATAACTGGATGTGAGGCGGACAAGGCGGGCCACCACTTATGAGCAGAATATCAGCAGGTGCATGCTAGTATGCATTCAGTTTCGACTACTCCAAGGCCTGGAGCTGCTGAAGTCATCGGGCGCATGACTCTCAGCGTGGGCCTTTTAATATATGACATCTCACTTTGTTGTTGAACATCATGTAAGTGAGACTTTAGGTGTGCGACCAGGAGATAAGAAGACTGTTACCACAACTTGTATCCCCTTGACTGAAAATTCTACGTGCTCGTTCCGACATGTAGCATTCAGTCTGTTGGCATTTAGGGACCTCAAGTTCTTCTTCCATAAGGTAGAACAAAGGATGCCGGAGTACACGAAAGCAGCTGCTTATGCAGTGAAGAATATCTTCTGAGTCACTCATCTGCTGAATGCTCTGTCATTCACATCCACTGGACACCACTATACAAAGCTCACACAGCGCAATGATCAACAAATGTCTGACGATACTCTGATCAGAATTGCTGAGCCATCGAAGTCTCGTCCTCCAGGCTTCTGATCCGAGGTGATGCTGGGAAATGGGAAAAGGCTTTGCGGACACGTGGCGGAGGATCATTCACTTTCTTTAAAGAAAAAAAAGGTTTGGTTCATGCCAGTCGATTTCAGTAAAAGTCATCTTATTGAACAATGCTACCTTGGTCCAAGGAAAGTTTAGGAGTAATTGGTCGCTGGCTAGCAGCACATCGACCTGCTGAGCATATCGTACAATCCTGCCAATTCTCTCTGGCACGTCAAGCTACTCTCGTCTCTGAGCTACCTCTCACAAAATTGGCCAGGGAGAGTAATGAAGGCTTCGGCAAGGCCCCCGTTCAACCCGGCAGTATGTTATGAATGAATCAACTGCCTCGCCTATACATAGCTATTTCCTCCGCGTCACCAGTACAAAACATGTGTTATGGCGGCGCCGATGCCAGTGACCTTGCGATCAGCTTGGCAGTTTTGTCATACGAAGAATTACAGGCTGCCTAACAAAATGATGCGCAACATAGATTGTAGGGTTACAGTTGGAGCCTATAGGTTGGAAAGTCACATTAGATGCGAAGAATAAATATCCTTCTATAACTATTGGAGTGAATGACTAGGTTGAAATAGTTGGCTGAAAGGTTTATATATGACTGTCCGTGGTATATGCAAACAACATGCTATTGAAGTTATATACAGTACCAACTTTCTTTCACGTCCATTATACCCCGTTTCTTCCTTTGGACCTTACGAAGTATCATGCCATATCCGACGGGCTCCTCCACCATCAAACTCGAGCTGGCGAGATTTCGACTTCTCCAGCTCGGGGCTAGGAGGCTCCTCAGTGTCCTATTCAGTCTCAGTCAGTTGAGGTTCAGTCCGATGAGTCAAGAATTATAATGGCAAAATGGCATATGAGTGAATCAGGCCCAAAATCCACCATCGAAAGATCGGCATGTCCCGAGACAGTGGTAAGTGGTAGGGCTGAAGCTCCACTCTTGCCTCTCTGTCTTGTCTGCAAGCAATGTCATAATCGGTGTCGCATAAGAGGCATCTACCCTCCGGCCACATATCCCCAAATTTGGGCCAAATTGAAGTGCCTGACTATCTGTCTACTGTAGAAGAGACGAAAAAAGGGGCCTCTTCACGCCGCTTTCTTGCTCCAACGGAACGGCGACGGCGACGGCGAAGGCGGCGTTGTAATTCCGGTGCTGAGCATTTAATCTCAAGCGTTGACAAATCTTGGGCCCCACATTCGCAATCAGGTCTGCACCATGCGACCAGAGTTTGAGTGGACCATTACCAGAAAGGCGCAAAACATGTAAAGTCTGTCTTCCAGATCTTGTGGATAGATCGAATTAAAAACCCCAAAGCATTCTCTTCCCTTGATCGTATTTCCGTAATCGATTTCAGCATCACGTTTCGAGGGACACACATAGCCTAGAAGCCATGGGTTTTAGTGCTGAAAAACCTCTTGGTACAGTCTTGCCGAATGCTCTAGGCTATCGAGAGGTATGCTGTGAGTGGGACTATATTGATGGCGGCTTAGAACCATATCGCTTTCATACACTCAATGTCGTGAATCTTTATGAATGTGCCATACGCCTGTATGAGTTTGCTATTTCCCCATGCGGAGCCATTGTTCTTCCGGTCCAAGTCTCTGAAGGGGCCAATAGTCCTTCTATGGCTTTGGCCATCCCAGCCAAGCCGGGGGCTCCACGGGCGAGTTATGTTGCAGCAGAAGCAGAACTATATGTCAAATACGTTCCTCAACCATGCCGACAAGATAATAGCGAGATCCTCTTCTTTCAAGACGTAGCAGCCGTTTTATTAGGACAGATGACTTTCGGAGAAGTACTTGCAGGTCAACGCGAACGAACTTCCAAATGCGCGCTAAGAAGATCTCGTTTGGCATCGTCAGGATAAGACATGTCAGATCCTTCGGCGCCGGGAGGTTGAGGTCATTGGCGACTGGAGTCTTCTCCGAGAGGCCTCAATGAGGCGCTGGCTTCACCGTTTCCGCGGGTTCTGGCTGTCCATGCTGCGTCACTATGGTTTGTCGCTGCGTGGTAGAAAAGGCTGTCGCTTGCAAAACTCATCAAGAGGGAGGATAGCAGCGCCCTCTAAATCCTTTCCCTGCATGGCCGCCAGCACACATTTATCTTTCAATTCGCGTGGAGAAGCTCTTCATCTTCAGCTTGTCCGCCACGCTGACAGACTTAAGAGTTCGAAGCGTACCTGCTATAGGTGGCAATCTCAAAGTCAGCGTTGCGTGGGCTTGCTTCGTACTGGCTCATGTGGCGTGGGCACCGGGTACAACCAAACCCAATTGCCGTCAATCTGTGTACGACTGAGAAAAGCGTTTACGATGAAAACGAAAATCCGAGCTGGACGTCAAAGCCGGCTCAAAACCATGAAGCTCCTGCAGTGCTTCAAAAGCCAATTGCTCCCGCACATTGCGTTCTAGAGCTGCGTCATGTCGTACGTATTTGTACGGCCCTCGGTCATGGGAATGACCGATACTCTCTATTCTCGAATGCATGCCAATTCTGCGTGTGTCTCTGATGATTCAGCGCTTGTGTGAACTGTGGGCTCTGACGACGTCATCATCAATAGCACCGATCATGACGGGCAGGGGTAGAATGGAGGGGAATAGACGATCTGCTGTCTGTACTCCGTAGTATAAGTATCGATAGAGCGGACAAGGGCGCGTGTAAGCTGTGTTTGTAAAAGAAACGGCCATCCGTTGGTAAGTGATTACATACTCGTAGCCCGGAGTCCGCTATGTATTCTAGATCAATCTCGCAAGCCTGAATTAATTCATCGGAGCATCATAGCAAGATTTTGCTCTATTGGACTTGTGGAAATCACTTGCTGAGTGAGCTCCTTGCGGCAACGCCGACTGATCCGTAGTAAGATGCGTCACCCGACAGTAGCATCTGTGGCTGGGTATCGGGAGGAGCGGAAGACGATCGGTAGTGGCATGTTGGATGATATAAAGGGCGGGACGAATTAACTTGCGCCACTCCATGATAGTTGTGAACTGCTTTTCGATGCTCCATCGACTGAAGCCGTTTCAAACATCCGTTCAATACCCCCTGGGCTTCAGTATCAGCCATCAAGTCATTCTTCCTCCTCTCCTGAAACCGCATTCTTTCGAGCGAGCACGATGCAGAAGGTCAAGTCCAAGCTACCATCTTGGGATACGACCAAGACAACAAGCAAGAAGGGCTTTGACAAGGTCTGGGGCTGGGCAGATAAGCTCGGAGCACCCGTCAATCGACTATCCAACCGCATTGGCAGCGAAGCGTTTTGGCCAACGACTCTGGACAAAGAGAGCGACAAGGCGGCGAGAATCTTGCGATCATTTTGCAGTGCGTATTGACTTTACTTACGATGTTCCGATTGTTTATTGCTCATGGGTGATGTGGTGACGCCGTTTTGTGGCTCGCCAGCTTTTGTCTTCTCCGCTCTTCATAGCGCCACTGCAACTTGCATCTGTTCTTTAATACTTTGCATCAATCGCTGACAATTGCCGGAATGCAGAGGATGGCTTCTACACAGAAGAAGAGCGCCCAGCCGATGATGCCGGCCCGAAACGGAAACAGCGAGTCATCAAGAAGATACCCCAGAAGGTTATAGAGAATGCCGTTGGCCTCGCCATTTTCACGACGATGCGCACCGGACTGTGGGTATCCGGTTCCGGCGGCTCCGGCGTATTGGTGGCCAGACAAGAAGACGGATCATGGTCCCCTCCATCGGGAATCCTGCTCCACACGGCGGGGTTGGGATTCCTTGTCGGTGTCGACATTTACGACTGCGTACTGGTAATCAACAATCGCAAGGCCCTCGAGGCCTTTACTAAGATTCGGGCCACCCTGGGCGGGGAGATCAGTGCAGTCGCCGGTCCCGTCGGCATGGGTGGTGTTTTGGAGAACGACGGCAAGTGGAAGCAAGCAAACAGGCCGGTATTCACATACCTCAAGTCGCGTGGCTTCTACGCAGGTGTCCAGTTCGACGGTACAGTCGTGATTGAGCGTACGGATGAAAATGCACGCTTCTATGGAGAGAAAATAGGTGTCGCCGATATCTTGGCTGGAAAGACCAAGCGACGACCGCCAGAGCTCAAGATGTTGATGGAGACATTGAAGGCTGCTGAAGGCCGGACGGATGTTGACGAAGAGCTGATGGACGAGCTCGAGGGGCAGCCTGCACCTGGCGACGTGGATGTCGAAGCCCCCACCGACGGGAAGCTATTCGGTATTCCCGAACCTGACGACCCAGATCCCTATGGCGTTCTGGCTCTGCAGAGGGAAGGACTGGAAATTGTGGAAGCGGGAACTCACACGAGACCCTCCAGCAGCCAGTTTGAGTACAACCCGAGCCCGTCTAGTCCAGTTTATGGCAAGTTTCATAACAGGCGCAGCATGGAAACGTCAGAAACCAGGAGCAATCGGGACAGCTATACATCATCTCGACTGAGATGGAGTTCGGATCGGCACTACGAGTCTTCGGATGCCGGGACACAGACAGACGAGGTCATTACTCCAGTCACAAGCCCCGTCTTCCATACCTTCCACCATCGGAATCTCTACGACGAGTCTAACGAATTATACAACTCTGTCAACGATAGTCCGTGGAGCTCAAAGGGCCGTAAAAACAGCATTGACCGCGACTGGGGGCGAGATGACAGCCTGACCTTTTTCAGTGAAGATGACGAAAGGTCCGAAGCTGCATTCTTGTCGCCCTCCGATCTGCGATCACAATCCATCAGCGCCCCTCCAGTGGACGCCGTAGTTACTCCTGCCCGCGTGCCGCCTCCGCTGCCACCGAGGAACATCTCCCGGCCCCTCAAACCCGAGTTTGAGGAGGTGGATCTGAAAGCGGCTGTCAGCGAAGAGGCGAACCACGAGGAGGATCTGTCGTCTGCTACCCGATCAGAATTCACTGCCAAAGAGACGGAAGGCAGCACGAACGATGACACGAGCGAAGCAACGTCGCTTTCACCAAAGGAGACGCCGGCAAGCAAAGAGATTGACCTCCCGGTTCTACGGAAAGAATCCACCAACACACTTTTCGACTCGGAACACTCCACAGACAATGACGCCCGGGAGGAAGCCGACAAATTCCAGACGCTGCCTGGCAGCTTTCTCAAATCTGACTAAATAATGCATATACTCCATTGGGAGGAGTATAACCGATGCTGAACATACCAAGACAATGTATTATTACTTTTCACGTGTGTTATAGATATTGAAAGTTATCCTTCCTCTGTGCCAATGACATGTATGGCCGTATCTAGCTAATAGCCCTTTACATTGGCCCTTCCATGTCTGATTGGACTTTGATGGGTATCAATGATGTATTGAAGCAGTCCACTGCATACCAGGAATCATTACATTTCCACAAGCAACCCACGTCTCATGACTTGACAATTCCGATACGTTCCAGCTCAACTCGCCAATCAGCTGCAGCTAGAAGCTTGTAGTTCACCTCGAACCTGGGCCTCCATCCCATCATCTCTCGCCTGGTATGGCCGTCGGCGCCACAGCCACGCAGCATCAGAGGGCATTTTGCGTCATTCGAGCCGGCACCGCTGCCAAACAGATATTCCACATAATCCCACCAAGATGCCGTGACTGCCTCTGCTGCATGCTCTTCCCTGAGCTCATGCCAAAGCAATGATAGCACGAATGTCTTGTAGCGACCGAGCGGCCGTATGTTGGGCGATAGAGCTACTGCATGCCGTAGCCTTGCGTCGTTGAAAAATGGGCTTTTTTGAACCAGCTCCAGGGGTAAATCGTAGATGTCCGCGTTCATGCGCTGCACATCCACTGCCAGCATCTCGAGTACTGACAAGCTGTAAGTGATGTCAACGCCGCTCCCAGCAGCAGCCAAAGATTCAGGCTCCCATTTCGCATCGGGCCCCAAAGCTAAGATTGTCAACGTCTGTATGTTTGGTAGAGTTCGGATGGCAAGTGCGCTTGCGAACGCCTGCATGTCTCCCGGGATTTCACAGAGGGCCACGTTCGTTATTCGGTTGCGATCAAGAGCAATGAAGCCGTCTACGGGCTCATCGTTCGTATCTGCCAGGAGCGGATTCAGAAAAACATCTTCCGGGATGCCCTTTGAAGGCCATCCGTCGAAGACGGTGAAGGTGTCGGTGTCGTAGCTAATAAACGGTGTATCGAAGCGTATATCGACACCAGACACGTTACAAAAGTGAGAGGGCTGGAAAAAATGAGGCAGCCAAACAGCTCGGGCTTCGTGATTTGCGTGAAGCAGCGGGAATATCGCGTGTTCCTTGGGCTGCACGATATATCGGTAGTGATACCGTTGCTGAGTGCTTTGTTCTTCGGCCCTTCTGCTTGCTCGAGAACCGATATAGCGAAAATGATGGCGATACCAATCAGAGGCTGGAGGCAGAATTCCGATCACGCGAGAAGGCCTCGGTACCGATTTCCATACCTTGAGCCTCAACTCAGCTGGCAGACGAGGGAAGGGGGAAAACTCTGTGGGAAGCGACCCCATGTTCACCGAATCGAATGTAGCATAAACGTGAAGATTGCGCGGCGTGTTTCGATCCAGCTGGGACAAAATGCCGGCGCTTGAGGGCAATCTTGACGTGGGAAAGGGAAAGCGTTCCTCTCGCCTTCAAGAAAATAACCAGATCTCGATTGGCTGAGAACACAAGAATGATCAGGATATTGAACCCTTTAATCCTCACGACATGCAGCCCCTCTTTGTGGAGATTCTGCAGTCTACTGCGCAACGCCTCTATCATTGGTTATGCTTGACTTCGTATGCCAGTCAGGCTCAGATTCAGAGGACAGATACACCGGTAAGAAGCGCCTTGTTCTGTCCGTCTTATGAGCATATGCAGTGGTTGCTGGCGGTCGTTACGTGGCTTCGTTCCATACGCCATTCAATGAAGCCATTGCAGAGACTACCTATGTAGGACAAAACACAAACTGGCGGTAATCGACATCTTTATTTGTTTGCTTGTTTGCTTGCTTGCTTGCTTGCTTGCTTGCTTGCTTGCTTGCTTGCCAGAGAAACGTATGACGCAATTGCCAGCTGTAGCCTAATCAACGTGATCCTCATCTGAGCCTAAACAGACCGTAAATCCTGTGGGTGAAGGTCGCGTAATCTGGACAATGGCCGCCATTATTATCAGTGACATCCATTGAAACACGCAAAAACGCGAATCAGACAAGGAGCTATTGGGACTAACGGAGCTAGGAACAACGAATGGCGAACAGAAGAATGGTACGTAGAGAGTAAGATAGCTGGGGCCGATCCCATAAGCATTCATTAGAGGTCGCACAGTTTGAAGTGCGACGAGGCGATTGCTTACCCGTCAATTTACTACTAGTCGCTAAGACACACCGATCAAATCGGTCATTGCGAATACACAAAGCAATTTCTCGTCTACATCGTGGATCTATAATTGTCTCCAATGTGTCCCTAGTCTATCCCAAATATGCCTAACTAATCGCCTACATCAATAGTTCCACTGGTCACACCAGTTCTTCATCAGCTCCTCATCAACTGGCCCAAGGCTCCTCATGGTCTGACTGTGTGCCACAGTCCTTGTCATGTCAAGGTAAGCGTGACCGATACCTGCTCTTCTTTGTTCATCCATTCCTTTGTAAGTGTCAATCAGCTTGATTCCGGGGTTCTTCTCCGCATCCTCGGCTGTAGCATTCACAGCGCTTGCTTCAAGGGCACGAATCCACTCATCCAGAGGGACGATGGCCTTGATGCGATCTCCATAGTAGCTTTTGAGAATCCTTGTCAGATCAGCCCAGCTCGTAGCGGACGGATTGACTCCGTGGAAATATCCCGAAATATCTGACAGGGGAACCCTTTGGGTGACTCCAGCAATGTCCAAAACTAATCCAGCAATGTCTTGCACTGGCGTCCAATCTATAACGTCCATAGGTCCGAGACTGGCTGGCAGCATGCCGAGGTGGACCGAGCTTGCAATCAGACTCGGGATGAATTCCTGGGGATTCCAGACGCCTTCCTTGGTTCGCGGACCAGCAATCTGCCCGACTCGAATGATGGCGGCCGAAATGCCAGATTTCTCAACAGCCGCGTCCAGAATGCAGCTGGCAGCATATTTTGACCGGCCGTAGCCCATTTTTGGCAGCGTTAGATCATCGAGGCGATGCTCGGGGACGGGCTCCTGCTTCGTCCAGCCATTCACGGTTCCAATGCTCGAGATGAAAATTATTGGAACTCTCTTAGCTGCCTTATTCGAAAATTCGACGAGTTGACGGACACCGAAAATGTATGGCTCGAACGAAGTAACGCTGATGTTGAAGTTAACAGGCCATGCATTGTGAACGATACGATCGGCCGTGGCCGAGATATCGTCGTACTGGGCCTGAGTGAGGCCGAACAGTGGTTTAGAGAGGTCGACACCGAGGAACTCGACTTTGGAGAAATCCGTGCTCAGCCCTCGGGTAGCATTGTAGGCTGACTGGCGGGAGCGTCCTCCATCCTCACCACGATTGAAAGCAATAATCTTGGCCACTCGAGGATTCTTGATTAGCTGGTCAAGCATGTAGGCACCAAGGGACCCCGTAGTACCAGTGACGATGACAGTCTGTCCTTCATCCAACGGATGAGATTGCGATTTATTGGGAGGCGGAAGGTCGGCAGTATACTTCTCGATGATTCGAGACATGGCGCGGATCTCTCCCTCATCTGCGTCGCCCGCGTTGTCGCCGCTGATGACTGTCGAGTATAGATGCCGCGCTAAGCCACTGATTGTTGGATTCGCGTAAATGGCACGAGCAGCAGCGGTATCCTTGTCTATCGCTACGCCAGCAGATTCCAAGGCGGAGCGTAGAATCTTGGAAAGAGTAAGGACCTGCATCGAATCGACTCCAATACTGAAAAGATCCGTCTCAGAGTCGACCTCGACTTTGCCAACTTGCGATCTGACAATATCCACAATGGAATGTGTCAAGGCTTCCAGGTTCGATATATTCAGTGAAGGCGCTTCTTCCATCTCGATACCCTCATCCGTATCCGCATATAGCTCATTGATGAAGTCCTTGTAGAGCTTCACCGTCGCGACTCGTTGAATGGAGCCTTTCGGTGACAGCAAAAATGGTTTCTCAGGATTTGAGATGGCAATCATATTGCGAGAAATCCTTCCATGGGCCACGGTGACCTTGTTGACCTCTTCCACAATTGGCCACACACTGTTGATGAGGGCTTCTCTGGCCGCTTCATCTTTTGGGTGTTCGTTTGGCTGCAAGATGAGAGCGGGCTGGAACCTTTGTTGCCCGACTACAAGGGCGGCCCTAATAGCGGGATGGCCGACAACAGCGGCCTCAATGTCGACAGGATTGAGCTTCTCGCCGTTCGAAAAGACGATAACGTTATCTGTACGGCCATTATAGAGCCAATGGTTCGGCTTCGTGGGATGCTTCTTGTACATATCCCCTGTAGACCACTCCGTCTTATCCGGGAAGGTGTAAAAGAGAGCCTGCCGCAGTGGTTCCGTAGGGTGTTTTCGACAAACAAACATTTCGTATATGTCATCGTCCGAGATTAGGCGAAACTGAGCACCCATTTCTTCAGCATTGATGATGATCCATTGCCATAGTTCAGGGTCTTTCTGGTAGTGAATCAGATATGGTACAATCCTGGGTTGGTTAGTCTTCAGCACTGAGATGGATTAGAGATAAACTTACTCTGTCGAAGAAATTACGTTTGTAAGCTTGACACCTTTCTTAACAAGCTCATCTCCGATCAAAGGGGAGAGATTGCCTATCCATTTGTTAATGATTATCCACCATGACATGAAAATAAAGAAGGGGAATTTGTTCAGTCCTTACCTCCGCCGAAGCCCGTAAGCTTGAGGTTGGCCAAGAGCTTAACGTGTGCGTCGTTCACACTCATGTCCTCAATGATGGACGGAGGGAGCAAAGCCGAATCGGACTGCGAATGGACAAGGCATTCGGCAACCATGTCAGCGCTCAGGGGTCGATTCGATACGCCATATACCATGGGGACACCATAGTATATTCCGAATATAGCCGTGCACGCAGTTCCAGCCATATGGAATAAGGGCATGGGCGAAAATATCTTTGAGCTGGCGGTCGCCCAGTAACTCCACATTGAAGGAGCACCGTCCAGAGGTGGTTCGTCCCGGAGAGTATCCGCGATGGCGAGACTTCCTTGGCGAACAACAATGGGCTTTGGAATGCCCGTTGAGCCGCTGGTATGCATAACCAGCATTGGGTGCCATCTCGCCTCTTCAAACGGCGTGTCGTATGGTAAATGAGGCGCCGTCGACTGAAGCCAAACGTCCATGTCGGGAGCTACCGTTGCCGGCATGCGATATGATTGAAGCCATGTCTCTACCGCGGATTTCATCGAGGCGTCATATATGATTTGAGTGCAGTCCGTGGCTTTGAACAGCGAAAGCTGAGCTTCAATGCTGTTGCGAGGCGAAATGAACAAAGCCTTGTGATGAGCTTTGATGCAGGCAAGCATGACAATTACATATCGTATGTCGTTTGGCCCAATATAGGCCACCGTGGGAAACTCGTCTTTCTCGTCGATCTGTTCTGGAGTCTCTCGGAGGAGCTCGCGAGCGAGATGGTTCACTCCGTTGGAGAGTTCCCTGAACGTGATGGGACGAAACCCATCCTTGGGGTTGCTGGATAAAGGCTGATAGACAAACGTGCGTTCAGGCTCGTTAGCCGCGTACTCATCAACGACATTGACCAAAAGGCGCTGTCCGTATTGCGGTTTTCGGTCGAGGCGTCCGGGCATGTTTGGTGACTGACGTAGCACCAGTTTTTCAGATCGTCTAAAAGAAAGGGTTGGATTGCAGTTGATGGAGAATGTTGTGACTATGGCGTGGCTTCTGACAAGATTCCATGAAGGGTAATACAGAAGCTTTATATAATGTGCTGGTAGCGGATCAAAGCATTGGTACTATAACGACGTCACGCATCCAATTTCCTGGCTACTGCTTCCTTTGTGATTCTGGAATCGGCATACTACATCGTAGATCGGACCCCCGTCAACGCCACAGCCGAAGCCATCCGCCGTCTTTCAGGGACAATCCGAGTGGATCATTTGGTCCCCCTTGTCGGTGTGGAAGCTTGATGGGAGCCGGTTCCGAGGATCAAACGTATATTTTGGGGGTACTGGACTAATACTTCGCATACGACTCAATACCTTAAGAAAAAGCCTCGGCTCTTAGCCCCTTTGAGATCAAGTGTATAGTGATACAGCATCGTGGACTTTTTGATTAGGCTGAGTCCACGGACTGTCCGGTGATCTATTTCTTGCAATGCTAGCTCGACTTGAAAGGGGCATGTCACTTCACATTGGTGGTACTAAGCTTGGCCGTTCAGTTGGGTTACCTCAATAAGACTTGATTCGCTCGTCCTCTCTTGTTGACACCTCGGACCACCGGGAGATGGAAACCGCCAGAAGGTGTGGAAAGAGGTCTATAGCCTTGCCGTGTTAGCCGCCCACAGAAAGCACCAAATATTATTTCCGCTCACAAAAAAAAAAACTGCGACATCCACTCACTCTACTGTGGTAGCAGCAAATGCGAACTGCATGCATCTATGGGACAGAGACAAGGCCAAGTCCTTCCAGTAAATGATCTTACACTTAGCCCAGAAGGCTTATAACGTAGAACGTACCTGGATGGAAAAGAAACCCACCCAGCTCGGTGAGAGACAAACCCCTGCTCCGGACTATTCATCATTGGCTTGGTTTAAAGAGATGTGGCTGGCGGGCCGTCGACGTGGTCAGCACTCCCGCCAGATTCTCGGCCTATCGGCGATCAAAGCGTACCACGACACATCAAGTGCCGCGCCGGGCCCGATGTACGGAGTTTACCAAATTCTCCTTACGCGTTTAGCAACTGGAATAGGAGCCCACTATTGTACCAACATTTTTCGGTTCATACTCTCAAAAGTAGTCCGTACGAGTACGTAGCAATCGCCAACAGAGCTTCATCGATCCACATATGTCTCGGAGCGGCGTTAATTTGGCAGCCGGTGCTCCGTTATATCGCCGCGGCAACATTTCCTACTACTGCGCCGATACGGAGGTCCACTTAGGGAGACTGTTTCAAGAAACCCCCTGATGCAGGCAGAATAAACCTGCGAAAAAAAGGGCGCATATGCCTCGGGAATGTAGTTTACACCTAAAAGGGGGCATCATGCGTTCGGCACCTTACTTCTTGCCTGGCTTTTCGCTGAGTCTCCATCCCGAGTGAGTTTCAACATCCGTCGTCTATGGACTTCGTGGCACATCGGAGCCGATGGACTCTCGGTGTCGCCTACGAAGTAATCCACTTACGGAGTATCGAGTAATGTTTTATTGTTATTCGCTCATCTCTCCTTTTTTCGGCGCAAAGTGATACACACAGTACAGCCTGGAGTGAGAGGTGAGTCCGTCGAAGTATCCAGCGTCACATCGTTATTTTCTGTTCCGAGGCAATTATTCTTGTTTGGGAACTCGATACACCGGTAATTCTAACGTGGTATTCGAGTCATTTCCATCGCCCAGAAGAGGAACTGGCCCTCGACAGAAGATGTAAAGTCTTCCATAGGTAGGTACTGAGTAGTCGCCGCTTCATCTCTGGAGCAGCAAAGCCCCTCCTGCCTATACAAATCAGGCGCCATAAGACTCCAAGGGCTGATAACTAAGGTATTGACCCAGGAACGTCATGCCATTTCGAATCCCAAATCATGCAGACGGAGTACCATGTGTCATAGAAGTGAGCTCTGCTCCTGTGACTATTTTGTTGTAACGGGTAGAAATACGCTATCATGCGTAGCATCCCGTGCAACTGGAATGCCGGAGACGCTGGCTCAGGTTGAAGCCTTAACTGCTGTCTTAGGTTATCCGGGGTCATTCGACAAGCAGATCGATATATTGGCTAGGCTTTGGAGGAAGGCAGTAATCGGAACTGCCCTGCGCCATATTGTTTGAATGGTTTACCGAGAATGTCTGTTGCGCTGGGGTGTAGCGTCCTCCTCATCCTCCTCTCTTACTAATATGTTCACGCGAGAGTTGAAAGTGAAGGCTCGGACTGAGAGAATACTACCCCAAATTGGTTTTAAAAAGGTCTGCGAAGGATTTCGCATCCATCGCGAGTTTGCGACTGAGGCATCAACCCCATATTCCGCCAAGTGCCGAGTCCAGCATCACGTTCCAGACCAGTGATCACTTTCATTATTACAGGAAACTCAACCACGTCGTCTGCGGTATTGATCATTAATGGTTCTTGCAGTAAGACGACCACATCCTCGGCATTTATATATGTCTCGCTCGCATGTACATTGGGGCATTGGCGGCTCGCTTCCGTCCAGGAGCCCGGTTGAAGAGGGACGGAGCCACCACTGAAACTCTGAGAGTATATCATCACGAGTTCGCTAAGACGGCGTTAGTCCAGACGTTCGACTGCCCAACTCTGTGATATCTCCAGGGTTTCCCTTTCAATGTTACGTATGTAGAGGTCAACGAGGTGGGCAATAGAGGCGATCCGATGAACGGAGCGTCACCGCCTATCGCAAATTCCAAGGCCAGATATGAAGGAGAGGCAGACTTCTGAACTTTCGGTGTCTCGTGCATTGAGCATTCTTGACCGACATTTGATTGGGGATAGAAGCTTTTACCAAAGTCGGGCGGGCTGTTATTAGGACTGAGATTCAGGCGTGTAGGTACTATCCTCATCGGCTGAGCCTGATCGTTAGACTAGATATTCAAGGCGACTGCGCCATATAACAGCAGACTACAACCCAGCGAGACATATACTCGGCCGTCTTGATCATTGAATTCTGATATAATCGTGAAATTCATCGAAGGCCTTGAAAGTTCAATGGCAAAGACTGTCATGTCGAATGGCTTCGGACTGCAAAAGAACACCAGTCAAGTCCGTAAACACTCAGGCTCTCTGGGCCGCTTTCTCTACATCTTCTTCCCACTCGCTGTTGCGACCAATAGTATTCCTTGGGGTGTTTCCGATATTTCTGTTGGGTAACTCGACTGCGTGCTCGCCGTGAGTAACATTCGAGATTGATAGTTTTCCCAAGTCGGGGCGGGGAGGTATGACTGAATACATTAGCAGTGCGGTTCTGTTCTGGCGGCGAAACCAGAAGGATCGTCAGTTGGTATATCTCTTTGATCGGGTAGCTCTTCACGGTTAACGTAGTCACAGAGTGATCCACAGAGAATTGCTCGTTGGATTCATGCAGCGCAGCTTCTTCATTCTCTCCGCGCCACTCAGACAGCCACGTCCATGTTACTATGCCTAACAGCTGTGGAAGGGCATTACTTTCATAGGTGAACACAATGAAATGTTAACATCGATTTCAGGAGTGCATCCTAAATAAAGTCTCTATGAGTTTCGAGTCAGCTTGCCAACTCCCATAATAGCATTAATGCCATTCCTCTATCTGCACCGTCATCCACAATGTTATCAGTCCGAGGCGGAAATGGTAGCTTACCTTCTACTTATAGAACATCAAATAATAATTAAGATACTACCCTGCTGTAGATCTTGGTCAATTGAAGCAGAATCCCCACTGCCCAAAAACAAGCATAAAAGAGCGACTGGGTCCGCATCTTCGGCATTTGAAGAAGCAAGTCGGCCTGGAGCTGATTATCCGGTAGCGGTTTGATGAATGAGACAATACCCGCGGCGTAACCACGATGGCTACTCCCGACCTGCGATAAGATAATCTGAACATTGCATTCATTCTTATGCCCCTATACTCCTCTTTAACATCGGCAACGCTGAGACCATTGCATCTGATTGCCATATATCCCCAGTCGCACATAACGTGAAACGTTGCATACCAAGTCTTCTCATCATAGTGTTTACGTCCAACCGTAGTTTGGCTTAATCATAAGCGTTCTAATAAGTCCCCGACGACTCGAGTGCAAACACTGGGCAGAGTGATCATCATCAACTTGTGATGTAGAATACGAAATGGGGTTTGCAATCAGAGTACTGTTATCTAGCAATCTGTAACGGAAAGTCCAGATGGAGCAATCGAAAAACTTTCCATGTGGCCCGAGGCAACCAAAAGGCTATCCACTTGCGAAACTGCCTGTAGGTGCCTTCACTCATATCGGGAAATTGTAGCCAGCTAACGCAAACCAGTCAATGGCGAGGTCATTTGCCGTGGCGGTACCAGGCAAGTGGAACTTGGGAAGAGGCCATCGGTGAAGTTGGCGGTTTTGTCATGGGTATGAGCCCCTTATTCAGGCCCGTTGCATCAAATTCTGATCCCTCTTAATTCTGCAAAGAATGCATAGTAAAAGGCATGCCTCAAGCCACCCGGCATTGACTCTAAAGACGCCTGTATACAGGCTGCCTGTCATGACGCGTAGATTCGGATTCCTCTCATTAGGCAGAAGGTTCATACCAGCTAATGTCGTTCATGGCGCTCAGGAGACGAGCCTTACTTGTCAGATGTGCTGTATTCTATTTCTATATACTATGCATCTTATCAGATCCCCCTTTTCTGCACAGCCAAATCGAACAATAGCCTATTGCTCGCACCAGCCAAGCTTGCCAAGCAATGCCACCTGTTGCTTCAGCTTGGAATGTGGGGATTACGGTAGTATTCCCGATTGCCTCAAGAAGAAGCAGCAAGGATCCTACCTACGGAGATGCGGGGCGCCAAAATATTTTGCCGTTGGCACTGGGCACGCCCACCGTCAGCAGCTGGCGCAGAGAGTATGTAATCCTGTGATTCCAGAATACACCCTACACCGATCGAAACACGTCAAAGCGTTCGTAATTGAGTCTGGACATTGTACTCCAGCATACGAATCGTTCCTCTCATTCATTTATATTACAGATTTCTGATTTAGCAATGATCTTCAGAAAACTTCCACCAATCAGATTCCCGTTACCCCGGGTATTACGGCACAGCGGAGATTCTAACGTTCAAACCATCCTAGCAGGCACTCGAGTACCTGTCGATTCTGTATTAGTGCTGTATTCCACTGCTAGTCAGTCTGAAACAACATCAGGATTCTACGCGTCGAGAACACCGTGCAAGTCAGTATATAAGCCAGATGAGGAGCCGCTTGCTTGTCATGTTATAACTCTACTCATCTTCATCTCTACTCATCTTCGCCAAGCAAGATACAACAGTAGACATTGCTGTTCCAGCGGTAGCTCTACAACCATCATGCCTGCCCTCAAGACCCTTATTGCTTCCAGTCTCCTGGGAGCTGCCTCAGCCCTCAACCCCAGCTGTGCTCCAGGTGGCAATTTCGACCTCAGCAAATGGTCTCTCCAGCTTCCCATCGGTAACCCAGGCAGCCCAACTACCATCCCGGCGTCCCAGCTTGAGGGCTGTGCCGGTTATCAAGACCCGGGTCACCATTACTTCTTCACCGAGAGTGGCGATGGCGCCCTGGTCATGAAAGTGCCGGGAGCTCCCTCAAACACTGGCTGTGTTACCACTCCCAACAGCCAGCACTGCCGCACAGAGCTGCGTGAAAGCAACCCAAGCAGCTGGAGCCCCAACGGCTCCAACAACAAGCTGACGGTGTCTTTGGCTGTTGAACAGCCCGACAACTCCGGCCACGGTACCGTCATCGGTCAAATTCACATCGATGACAGTGTCAGCTCCAAGCCAGTATGCGAGCTGTACTACAACTCCAGCGGTGTTCTCGCCATGGGCGTTGAACAGACTCGCTCCGGCGGTAACGAGATCATCACAACCGTTGGCAATGTTCCCGTTGGTCAGCCTTTCACCTACACCATCAGCTACTCCAACAATGTCCTCAGCGTCAGCATCAATGGCGGCGCACCACAGACGCTCAGCACCTATTCCCTGGATGCTCCCCCCAGCTACTTCAAGGTCGGCAACTACAACCAGGGCTCGAGCGCTTCCGACGTTCACTTTTACTCGATTGACGTCTCTCATTAAAGAGTTTCACTCTAAGAGGATGACACCGGAGAGTACATATTCGTTCGAGCTACTTACGGCTCCTGTATATATGAGAAGAAGATTCTGAGCTATAAAGTCTCATTCTGCTAGCTATATCTATCCATACGACCAATGTTAATATTGTGAATTATTTCCCAATCCGCTGATGACAACCGGTGTGATGCCCCTTCTAACCCAACTTTAAGTATCGAATTACAGGATAACACAAGGTAGGTCATGTTTTTTGCATTTCCCTGTCGGACAAAAAACCTTGTGATCGCGGTGTCCCAATTTGACAGTGATGCCTCTTGTAAGATTCGTGTTGTAGGCTACATAGGTAGTGTCATTGAGCCTCCCACTCACACTCACGGGTGGAAGCTCCACCGAGAGAAGCGTGCTCAGATCGCGGCGTTCTTTAGCTCCCTCCATTAAGACAGTATGACGGCCCATGATGTACGTTCCTGGACAGATAATAAGTGTAGGCACCTTTTAGGAGTTAAGTTTAACATTATTATTTGTTTCGAGCTTGAAGCTTTTGAAGACAATGACGCCGATGCCGAAGGGCTTGGTTCAGTGAAGAAAGGCAATTGAACCGCAAACTTCAATAGGGGTTAAGGCTAACCTGCTTTGTGAGCCGAGCTCAGAGCTTTGGCTTTGGCCAGCTTCTCACGAGGTTCCAATCGGCTTCTCCTCCAAATTGTCCGAGTCCAGAGGCTGAACGCAAATGCCGAGCTGCTGTCGCGTAAGCAAAAACCGCCACGGCGACTTATTACGAAGCGCAGCTCGGCATTTTACCATCTTCCCGAGGTCGCCCGCCCACCCGCTCGGCAACAACTTCCTATCACCATGTTGTCTTGACAATATCAAAACCGACTTGATCGCAGATATATTTTTTGATCGCAATTTTGCAAACATGACATCCCTCTCGGCTTTTGGAAAGCCGACAAAGGCTTGCACGTAAGTAACACAGTCACCTTGACAGACGCCTAAATCTATACGATCCCGCTGCTTCCGCACCCCCCAGTGTTCTGCTTCCTGAGTCCCTTCAGTCGACCGAGATGCGGCAACAATTGTAACAGGCTCAATCTTCCGCTTACAATATCAACAGGACTTGCAATCACCGGAAGCTGAAGTGCGACGCGGCTATTGTTGGACTGCCCTGCAGCCGATGCATTTCGAAAGGATATCCAGAAACATGCGCTCTTGCTAACAGACGCCGCCGCAAGTACGCCTTTCATACAATCTTCTCGACCTATAAATCACCTAATAGTGACCGTTGCATCAAACATCTAGGCCTACGATTTTAGGCAAGGGCAGGCGCCAAGACTTGGCTCGCTCAGAGACTTGCGCTCAGTCTACACGACAAGATGAGTCGAAATCCGTAGACCAACTACTGGTTAGTACCGTCTGCCTCTTTTTCCGAAATAAACTGCGAGCCTTATGACCACAAGCAGGAACCGCATGACTCACCGGATGGGCGCCCAGCACAGTTCCCAAATTGGGATCTCATTGATGGCCGTGATGGAGTCCACTATATGAGCATACTTGGCCGACTAGCCCGTAATGAACAGACATGCACGCTCAAGTATCCGGGCTCAAAAGGCCTTACGGGTAGGCCGCAAAAGGAACATGAAGGTCAAATAAGCAATCCGGCATCGCATACAATGCGACTCAACACTGCAGACAGAGAGTATCTCGAAAAAAGAGGGGTGTTTACTCTGCCCCCACAAACTTGCTGGTATTTCCGTGGATTCTTCCTTTGGAGGTCTCTTCTAATTGCGTTGTAGCGAATCCATGTTACGGCGACATTTCACGACGGTTTATCCGCAAGTTCCAGTTTACGACTACATCGAGTTTATGGACTCATACCACTCGGGTTCTTTCTCATGGTTCTTGATGCAGACAATCTTAGCCAGCGCAGTGCCATTCACTCCGTTGGATATCTTGGCTGAATGCGGCTTTGGAGATCGTGCTACGGCATTGGAATTTTTCTTCTCAAACGCAGTGAAATTATACGACTTTGGATGCGAAGGAAACCAGCTAATCAAATTACAAGGATCCCTCATCATGAGCACCGTTCTTGTATCATACTCTATGGACAAGGACTTTAGGTTTTGGCACCACAACGCCGTGCGTCTTGCGATCAGGCTTGGTCTGCATAAAGAGTAAGTCCGATTATTTTGGCAGTGCATATGGAAACTTGCTGATCCGAAAGAAAAAAGCCACGTAATGGAAGAAAAGGGACTTGTCATGAAGAACTTATACCAAAGAATATGGACTGTGATATACGTGAGTTTTCCCAGCGATACGCTTGGAAAAGCCCAGCACTAAACTCTTCTCTCGTCAGTGCCGTGAGATCATCTTTTCCATCATGCATCTGGAAGCACCCAGTCTCATTCAATATTGCACGCGGCCAGCTTCTGAGGCAGAATGGGGGAATGCGCAGGTCCCGCCAAGGCATGCTGCTATACTACCGCTATGGACCGAAGGCCAAAAATGTTACAGCAATGAGCATTTGAAACTGGCCATCATAGGTAAGATATCTAAATGCATCATGTCTTCTCGCAATTAATGGTGATTTTGAGTAGCCACTCGCTGGCAAAGCGTATTACGCACACTGGATCCGGGAGAAAAGTCAGCTCCTCAAAATCTCGATGAAGAGATATTCTCTTCCTTCACGGCATGGAGAGATTCACTGCCAAAAGCAACCGCGTTGGACCACGGCACTCTGCAGAGCAGGCCGCAGGAGATCTCTCTAGAGACTCTTGAAGCAAGCAGCTATCGATTTGAGTGCATCTTTTATCGATTATTGCTCAATCGCTCCATCTCCAGCGGCCAAACAAGGAGCCGGATAGATGTTTTAAAACGGCGGCTACGCACAGCTATATTTGAGCTGGACACCATTGTCAGCCGCCTCCTGGCGGCTGACCTCTTGAAATTTGCGAATCTAAACGTGTAAGTCATATTCCAGCCGCTCTGTCCTTGATCTGCTTTGCATTTCTGATGAACAATTTACAGGCTTGGGTGTGCCGCATGCTTGTTAGCGTTGCATATTGAAACCGTGTTGGACCCGACTGAGCCACCAATTACAAAGTCCTTGACTATAACATATCTTCGTCGCAGCGAGCTTGTTCTTCAAAAAATATGCGAGGTCATTCCAGCCATGGAATGCAATCTACGCCTTCTTCGCAAATATCTTGACCCGAAAAGACTTGAGGCAGCGATGCTTATGGACCCACCGCCAGTCGAGAGCCTGTTGCCTATAGAAATGCAAGAACAGGAAGCTCAGCAGCCGGGCAAAGAGACGCAATACCTTGAGCAAAGCATTTTTAATGAGTCGGAGCGCCAGGCAGATCTGACAAACAGCGCGGTTCGGCTATCGGATGATGATGCATCAGAAATGTTGGGTGACATGAACGATTGGCTAGACGGTCTGATATGGCTTGACTACTTGAAGGATTCCAATCTCATACCCAACTAGTCAAGGTGTCACTGCAAAGATGAAAGCAATAGCAATCATAAACTCTCGGTGATTTTCTTATTGATCAGGCAAATCGGTGATTATTGTAGATGGTCTGGGAGCCGCCTATCGCAGCTACGTCAGCGCATCACTGCAGATTGGAGTACTGTGTGTAGGTATCTACAATACGCAAAGTGTGCCGTTTGTCTTTCCATCAACCTCGGCATCTCTCAGCCTGCTATGCGTAACGCACGTCAGCCAGATAAGCAGAGTTCCATATCGGGGGACGTATTGTCAGGAAACTTACCAAAGCTCGCCTTATTCATCAACTCGGCTTTTCAAAGTTCGGGAATTCGTAACTCGTGCCGAGGACACCGGCACAGTACTCAGCTCTAATTATATATAATGCATTGATACGCCTGTGCAACTTGAGCTCCTCGCTGAGGGGCGTCCTTTGCTATAGCTCCGTTCTGGCACGCTTGTGGTACTGGCCGAGCGACATTTCGAGTTGTCGTGATGGCCCCAACCCCCCCTGCCCAGAACGCAGACTCCTCCATGACAGACATCGAGCAGACTTTATATGATTCAGATGGCTCATCTACTCCTTATCCTCTGGCCGAGACACTTACAGATTCAAAGGTTTCTTATCTCCGATTCATCCTCGATCAACCACTTATAACCCCCGCTGTCTTGAGTCACAAGTACGAGGGCTTGGGAACCAGCTCAAGTCCATACCTGGTCACATGGATGAAACACGATCCTCGCAACGCACGGGAATGGCCCCAGGGAAGGAAAATACTCACCACGGCCATTATGGCAATACTCACATTAGCGGCCGCGTTCGTCTCGTCAACATATTCGGGCTGCAGGATCGAAATCATATCAGAGCTTGACACCAACAACGAAGTATTTTCACTGGGCATTGCGCTATACGTCCTGGGCTTCGCACTCGGGCCATTGCTATGGGCTCCTCTGGGCGAGTTGTATGGACGCCAGATCATCTTCTTCATCACCTATGGAGCCTTCACAGCGTTCAATGCCGGGAGCGCCGCCGCCCAGCATATATACTCGCTCGTCATTTTACGATTCTTTGCGGGAGCATTTGCGTCCTCGGCTCTGACAAACCCTGGAGGCGTCATTGCTGACATGTACGACGCTGAGCACCGAGGCCTAGCGATGGCTTTGTTTGCCGCAGGCCCATTCATGGGACCTGTCTTAGGGCCTATAGTTGGAGGGTTCTTGGGCGAGACTCGTGGTTGGCGTTGGGTTTCGGGATTGACCGCCATCTTCTCTGGGGCTCTGTGGATTGTCAATGCTGTTTTTGTACCAGAGACTCATGCGCCCTACATCTTGCGAAAACGAGCACAGGTTATGTCCAAGATGACAGGCCACATCTATCGCAGCAAAGTCGAAGCCGACAAGAGCGACAAGTCTGCCTGGGGCGAACTGAGGATATCGCTGACCCGCCCTTGGGCGCTGCTCTTCTCTGAACCAATCGTTCTGCTTCTATCCATCTACATGTCCATCATCTACGGGACGCTGTATATGTTCTTCGCAGCGATACCTATCGTCTTTCAGGAAGACCGCGGTTGGGGTGAAGGAAAAGGAGGCTTGGCTTTCTTGGGAATCTTGATAGGAGTGGATTTGGCCGTGCTCTTATCCGTCTTATATCAGAGGAAATACAAACGGATGGTGCAGCAGAACCGAGCCGGCGGTGGGACAGGATCACTTCCTCCGGAAGCTCGCCTACCGATGAGCATGGTGGGAGCGATTTCTCTTCCCGTTGGCCTCACTTGGTTTGCATGGACGAATTATCCCCACGTCCACTGGATGGCGAGCATTGCAGCAGGCGTACCATTTGGCCTTGGTATGGTGCTTGTCTTCACGTCAGTCAGTGCCTATCTCGTCGACACATATTCGGTTATGGCCGCTTCTGCGCTGGCAGCCAATGTGGTGATGCGCTCTACGTCTGCCGCCGCATTTCCTCTGTTTACAGCACAAATGTATACTGCGCTGGGCATTCATTGGGCCTCGATGATTCCGGCGTTTCTAACGGTGGCTTGCGCCCCATTGCCTTTTTTCTTCTACAACTGGGGTAGTCGCATTCGAGCCCGATGCAAATACTCGGCTGCTGCACAGGAATTCCAAAGAGAAATTGAGGAGAAACAGTGACAAAGGGTAATTTTGCCTACCTATACGAGGGATCTGACTGAGCCTAGAGCTTTGGAGTGGACGCCTACGTACGTTGAGTTGCAATCGTGCAATCACGATTGAAGTGTACGCATGAAGATTGACGAGTGTCATGGCTTAAATGGTGTTTCGGTTTAGGATGAAATCCATATGTAAAATAATATCTATAGAATAGCAGAGCACCTGAAATACATCAAATGCTGAGTATCGATCATATATAATGAACAATGTATTCGGTATTTGACGAAGAGTCGCAGTCACATTTGGGAGGTCGTCCGTTGAATCCGCGTCTTCTTGACATCTTAACCCAAACTCTGGCCTCTGATATGAATCAGCTGGAACCCATTCTTGAAGGCTTTCTCGCCACGTAACAACAAGCCAATCTCTCCGGGATGTCTCCAATGAAGCCAAGAGACAACGATTAGCATGGGCAGGGCATCAAAGACATAAATAAAGGCCTCGTTTTGCAGCAAGTACCCGTCATGCCCCTGAGCATACTCAATGACGCGAAATAAGTTTCGGATGATAATAAGGCAGCTCGCAACATATAGCGTTTGGAGGTAGACTTGCCAGCGACACTCTGGTTGCTGTGAGCGAACAGTTGGGATCGATCTCATGCGGATGTGGAACACGGCTGCAACGACGACGAAAATGCCAAACCAAATTAACTGCAGCACAAGGCCTCCGATAATGACGTTGTTGCCGGTGTCGGCCATGGATGGATTGCTACTGCCTGTAGCCAGAATGCCGCCACCTGAATGATGAAGCCTGTGTTAGCTAACAATCTAGAGCAGGACGTCAATGGCAAGTGTATATCGCACCTCCGGATAGAAGTAAGAAGCAGACAACATCTCCAATGACAAAGATTTTCGTCAACCATTGTGGCTTGATTATTGAATGATCCTGTCCATCGACGAGGAGAATGATTCGTCCGAGTATCATGTAGATGGACGCCGCGAATAGCGCTGGTGCAAGAAGGATGAACATGCTCTGAGTGATGTAAGGACCCAGCGTCCAGCAGCCAGCCTTTTCAGCCCCAGACGTCGCTCTGGCGGCAAATCCAACGAATTCGACTGAGGTTGGTAGTTAGACGTCAGTGTCTTCTTGTTTGTCATTCCCGTGAGCGACAAGGACAGAACTTGGGGATAAAGCATACAAAAGCATCCAATTACCAGTGGAGTCAAATACCAGCTTCTGGTTTTCCACATCTGGATGAGGTGTATCACGGTAGATACAAAGAAGAGAATGCAGAACATGACAGCAGCAGCAATAGAGGGAATGTATTGATAGAAGGCAAAGGCAGCATGTCGCCAATCCGGGTCGCACTTTGTTCCCATGGTCAGGAAGTGAATTTGAGACAGCGTATAGCGGGATAACAAAGAAAGTCGTGGAAGAAAGGAAAAGTGAGTGGATAGAAAAGGGAAGTGTCACAAATGATAACCTGCGATATTTGAACTGAAATAGGGTTACGTTCATCGCTCAACTGGGTCATCGTGTAATCACCAATACAGACGTAGCAGAAACAGGAGCTTCGATGGCCAATTGACGAGGGATCTTGTTTTGATCCTCTCCAGCCAGAGATTCGGGCTTAAAGTGGCTTGGTCCATCGTATAACCTCTGCCATATACGCGGATATGCGTATTGTCGAGCCCGTGATTGGCGAAGAAGCTTACCTGGAATTCCCATATACGGACACCTCCCTGGATCCTGACAAGAATAAGGCCGCGTACGAAGAAAGGGTGATGTACCCAGACAACACGCCTTCAACCCCCATATGGATACGAAGAAGGCGAATTGGTCTACGCAATCACTGTGGTTTGACTTGGTACAGACAGAGTCGAGCGTGCCGCTACCAAAATTAATCTGGGTCAAGGATTCGGAGACCCCTTGATCCACCTGCGTATTCCTGCATCTATTATTGGTTGGCCAAGCTGGGCCTGCTTCGAGTTCCACTGAGACTCCAAGCCACAGCTTTGCTCAACAGACGCAAAATACTGCATGTGTTGGTACTGGCCTGCGTTAGCATCATGTTGTCTGGCCTTGCGGGTTAGCAATGGTGCACATATCAGCAGTTCACATAGATAACACTATTTATTCCTGATGACCCTCAGTCATGTCGTATACATTGATTAGAGTAGCCATAAAGCTATACGATGTCCACGAGATCTTTCGTCTGTCATTGCTTTATTATCGTGTGAGCCGATGCACTCTTAGTTTCTCAAATTCCGTATCATTGATATCTTCTGCGTATGACCAAGAATATTCAACGAGCACGTATCCTGTTTTGGAAATTAAGGAGAGTTTGCCAAACCTATCAGTCAAATGGTGGCATTCAGCTGTTCGTTGGGCCATATCATCCATCGTGCCCATCGTGTGCCCAAATGTGTTGAGATGGACTGGATCAAAAAGCGCCCGGATTCACCAAAGATCCAGAACTTGCGCAAACGATGCAAAAGCACCGCGTGGAAGGACAATATGATGAGTGCTTCCGGGACGCGTTTCCTGAGCATTTCCCCAAATCTGGCTGGCACCAGAATGGACCACGCGATGGTGAAGTGTATCTGAAATTGAGTCCCTTGATGGGTGTGATGTAGTTTGAAAACCCAATGGAGAATATCGGCGGCTTCAACGCATGCCTCCTTATCCGCCTCTTCAAGGTCAGAGTCATCGATGAGAGACAGGATACCGTCAAACTCGTGCGAGTGGCCTTTGGCAAACCCTCTGCCTGAGATATCACGCTGTCCAACAACTTCCTCCACTATGCCCTTTATGGCTGGCCATGATTGCTTGATTACAACGGAGACGCCTCGGTGGACCGGAAAGTAGGTGGCGAGTTGCTCCAGGAAGACGTCGAAATTGCTGCACTGGAATGTTTCGAACATGACATGCAAGCCCAGAAACGAAGCATACAGAAACCAGGAGCATGAATTCTGCTCCGAGATACCCAGTTCGGAACGGTTGAACAATGTCAATGCCCGCGTCTGAAGCTCCATTGCCTGGTTGCGAAAGAAGATTTGCTGTTGTCCCCGGTGAAGAGTGCTCAGATGTGCCGCTGAGAGAGCAAGAATCTGATCCATGAGGTAAGGGCTGGTGAGAGCGCATTGCATAATCACCTGACGCATCGACGCTGGTAGCTGAATCATGCTTGCTTCTTCGAACCCGCGGGACTCAAAGTGGTGAAGCAGCTTAAGGTGCGCTAAGCTGTACGCTTGAGCCTGCCACTCCTGGGTATGGCATTGTGTGAGAGAGGAGAGCGTAGAAGGCGACGGCGAGATTGCTGATGGTGATGGTGTAGCCGGCGGAGTCGGTATCTTTAAGCCATAGGAGCGATGGGATGGGCGCGTGAGGCGGTACGAACAGGGTCGACTGGTGATGGAGCAGTTGAGGCAAGTTGGCCAGCTCTCGTCGCATTTTTTGTGGCGTTGCTTGCATTCTCTACACCCGTTTCGAGATTTGCGGTGAGAGCTGCGCATGATTCGAACGTATTCTGAGAAGAGCTGGATAGTCACAAGCTGGGAAGGGCAAGCAGGATACGTCTGTATTCAAGCTTAAGCAATATTCTCCAGTGACTTCAACGTCGGCTTTGCCATGTATTGGTTATGGACATCTGCTCTCAGGGGTCATGGCCCTGTTATGCCACAACCTAAACAGATAAATAGCATCAAAAGTCATACGCGTAATACTCCATACCTAGGTACGTGGTGGCAGAACTCAGCCACAGCCCGATTGCGTTGACCCACAGCATGACAGTGAGCAATACGAGTACCTTTTGCGCTGCGGACCGATAACTGGTTCGTACCCTGAGGCCTCAATGGAAAGTCTGAGAATGACGCACAAATGTCTCGGTGTATATTACTAGTACTACCACTGGCAACCATCTTGTATCTGATGAGATAAATGACATTGATGAGAGTGGTGGTTATGTTTCAAATGCGCGCTACCCCCGTGAAATGCAAAATGTTAACTTCTCAAGAATGGTTGTACAGTTCAAAGCCTGAAATTGCCCTCCAAAAGGATATTGACAGCCTCCTCCCAGCCTCGAGAAGACGCAATGTCGATGACAGACCGGCCTTGGTCATCCTTGACCTCAAGGTCAACGCTGCACTTGTTGCTCAACAGCTTGAGGACCCTCATGTCGCCATTTTCGACGGCCTGCATAAAGGCGTTCCAGCCACGGTAGACCTTGTTTGGATCCGCGCCCTTATTGAGAAGCATTTCCAGAATGTCTGTGTCGTCGCCACGGCACCTTCGGACGGCCTTGACAATGGGGAGATGCTCGCCGGGAGCATTTAGATCGGCGCGGCCATCGGTGATGAGAAACTCAACCATCTCCTTCATGTCCTCGCGGATGGCCGTGGTCAAGGGAGAGAAAACTCCTCCGTTCTTGTCCTCCACCGAGACGCCTGCTGCGAGCAACAGCTTGACGGATTCGATCTGGTTTGCCGCCACTGCCATCTCCATGACACCCTTGTATGCGCGAGGTTCGGCAAGCACTGACAGTATGCGCCTGAGAATTGGAGGGCTTCGTACAGCCATGCACACCGGCCAGTCCTGTCCTCGCTTGTTAGGATCCGCTCCCCTGGCAAGCAAGACTTCGATCATTTCCATGCGGTTCTCCCGAATGGCGGTCGTCAATGGCGAGCATCCCTTCGGCGTTCTCTCATTGGGATCGAGGCCTTGATCTAACAGCCAAGACAGTGCTTCCATATTGTTACAGCTGACGGCCGTCTCCAGGATCCCTTTGGGGGTGTGCAGATCTGCACCAGCGGCGACCAGCGGAGGCAAGAAGTGGACACGATCATGGGTGACGCACTTGTACGCAGGATACTCGCTGGCCGTGACATTCGGGTCAGCGCCATTGCCGAGCAGCAGTTGGAAGATGTCCATCCTGTTGTCGCGGATTGACGTGCAGAGAGGTGTGTAAACGCCATCTTTTTTGGCGTTGGGGTCGACTCCGGCCTTCAAGAGTACACGCACCGACTCGATGTTGTTGATGCTTGTTGCCAACTCCATGATGCCAGGGCACTTCTTGTAGTCCGCACCGTGGTTCAGTAGCAGCTGGAGACAGGAGGTCTGGTGGACTGCCGGCCAAAGCATATGCTTTGGTCCGGGGAGGTTGGCATTCGCCCCGTTCTCTAGGAGGCTATTCACAATGTCGACTCGGGAAGCATTGATTGCTTCGAAAAGGGCAGTTTTGCCTTCTCTATTCTTCTCGTTGGGATCGACACCGTAATGGAGCAGAAGATCGATCATCCTCTTCGGTGTCTTCTTGTTGATGGCTGCGATGAGCAATGTGTTGCCATCTGATGTAACCTGAGACAGGTCACCGCCGTACATCAACAGCAGATGCGAGAGGCTAACCTTGTTGGACGTGATTGCGACCACGAGGGGAGATTCAAGCTCTGGCCCTGCCAGGAGGTTGGGATCCGCTCCATACTTGAGAAGCGCAATTGCTCCCGAGAAGAACATCTTCTGCACGGCTGCAAAGAGGGGCGTGATGCCATCGCGGTCCGCCTCGTTGGGATCTGCGCCAAAGAGAAGCAGCAGGCGGATACTCTCAGAGTCGTGGAGGTTAACAGCCTCTGCCAGGGCTCCGTTGGGAGACACTCCTCTATCCAACAGCTGCTCAACCAATTTGTGATTCTTTCCTCGGACAGCGGAAGTGATGCTGTTCCTGAGATTTTCAGCGTCTGAGCCTACTGTGCTGCGAGGCGTCCAGCGCGGCATGGTGAATGGATCAACCTTGAGCCGAACGGCCTTGGACTTACCAAGTTCCATGCCGGCAAGTTCTTCTAGAAGCGCATTAGACTCTGTGTTGGTGCTACTGTGCGACGATGCGTCGCCGATGGTGCTGGCCCGATCAAAAGCTTGGACAGCGCTGGAGTTTACTCTCTCAGACCTTATTGAGCTGGGAGTGGTGATGCTGTAGTGGTGAACAATGTCGTCTAATGGTCCACGTGAATCGGCGAATGGCTTGTTCGCTAGACTTGAATCGGGCCTGCGAGACAAGGATCGTTCGCTCCATGCAGCCGAAGAGTTGACGGTTTGCTGATGCAGGTGCTGTCCGTCGACACTCAAAAGTCCTCGATTGGGAGGAGATTGCCGATGGCGCGCGAGGTCTGGCTCCGATGCCTTCACCTTGACGCGGCCCGAATTGTCATCTAACCTGTCCAATGCCGCAGCTAGCCCTGTAAACCCAATACCCATACCGCGTTCAATCCTTTCACTGCCCAGGGTCCATTGGAACAGCAGGGCGCTCATTCTCAGCCCTTCCTTGGTGCGCTCGAGAACCGACGTCATCTTATCGACGTCTGTGTCTCCAAATATCTTACCCCATCCGCGCCTCATTCGGCCCATGGTGCCCTTGCGTTCATATTCCAGGAGCTTCGCCAGCATCTGTTCGAGGATGTTGAAATCTGACTGGGCAACACGCAGTTTTTTGTCCAGCTCTGTTACCACATCGGGTGGCAGCTCAGGGGTTGCGCGCCCACATTCGTCGAGGCCAGCTTCGATGGAAAAAAGGATCTGGCAGGTATCTAGGAACAAGTGTGCCAGGCGGTCGAAGTTCGGTGACAACTGCTTGACCGTCGTGAGGTACTCGAGCATGCGAACCGAAGTGCGGTCTCCGCCGGCCGCAACAACATGGCAGAGCTCGGTGCATTTTGTGAGGGCTTTTGATGCTTGGGGGGCCATTTTGGCAGGCTCCTTGGTGGTATGATGCAAATCGGCAGAAGACTTGATGTTCGAGGCACTGGCGGCCTTGGGAAGTGGCTTCGAGAGACAAGCGGACGGTTTCGACTGGATCGGAGGGCGAATACCGCTCACAGTAGGCAACGGGAGGAACTCCTTGGTCCCTAATGGGAAGGGATCCTTCTGAGGCGTGATGGAAAGAGCCTCGAAAAAGTCAAACTCTTTTGCGGACTCGTCTTTCGGCACAACCACTGCTGATGGGGTTGAGAGCATGATTCCCAGGAGAAAAAGCAGATGACACTACTCCAGCTCCTCGGAAAAAAGAGAGCTGGACATAGGCAGTACTTGGCAGCTATATAAAAGGTTAGAGCTCTCTAAACCGGGCAGCCATCTACCAGAGGGCACATTTTTACTTCAACTGGATATCAAACACAGCTACGTCTTGCAAATTTTGTTGGAGCTCTGGTACGACTTCACTTTCGCATTTGATGTCTCGGCCATCACAGGGCCACGAGGCGCAAGGAATGCCCATGCATGATTAGCGTAGCCTCTCCCCACCCCTAGACAATAGTCTATTCAGCTATTCTTGGATTGGCGAATCAAGCTCCTCGTCCTCTGGCTGGAGCCGGTCGTGGCTGCTGTTGGCCTCCAGATGACTGCACCAACATGCGTGCTTCGTACTCCACGGTCCAAGCTGAAAGGTTCTGTCTGTGCGTAGACTAGACATGACTGCTGAAACACACTATCAAAAGGCGCGGACATTTGGGTCGTCGATGCTAGATCTCAAGATGAAAAGGATAAACGCCTCGATCCAGGGGAGTTGGGCACAAGAGGGAGGTAATGCTTTGGGACCGGAGCTCAGCCGAGCACTAAGAATGAGTTTGCCTGACACTCACTCCACTTGCCATGGTTCCGTGTGAGTGTGCATCCATGGATGCCAACTAGCGAGTATCGTATCTAGATTGCCCGCCGTCCGCTAGCTGATTCAACTAGCTGTCACTGGCCTGGGCGGCAGCATTTGCTCTTATTGTGATGCCAGTAATTCCGATCATCTTCGATTGCAAGCCGGCACAGAGAAGCCAGAGCCTTACGGACAGACTCTTACATGCATATCGATCTCGATGCTGTGGAGTTTTCCCCGCAACTTTCTCATCCTTCTCCTTTCGGTGCCATCAATACCGACGATTTTCTCGAGGAGCACAGGTCAAGAATGCATCCGAGCCCCTGGCTCTGCGTGGTCGCGGCTTTGGTCTAGTCTAGAACAGTCCCTCTGTTCATTCAGTGGCAATGACGGCCTGGTAGCACGAAGGGGAAGTCGCCGAAATCAAGGCACGGCATGTGTGTGTTGCACGTGGACCTTGTGGTTGATCGCTTGCAAATAGCGCGCTTGAGGACCCCGTACTCGAAAATTGAAGCCATTCAGCTAGGAGTAACACCCCTAGCTGGGCCCGTCCAGCACGAAAGGGAAAGGAAGACTTTGAGCACTGACCAGCCTCCATCCCGGCTCTGGTTTCGATCTAAGAGATGTACAGACAACATGACCAGAGGGGAAAAAAGAAAAGAAAACAGAAAAAGAAAGTGACACATTGACCGACGTCCTGGTTCTAGATATAGATAGTCCGGTCAGCGATTGGCATATGATAGACTGAACATTAAACTCCTATGTGACTGATAGGAGACCAAGATGCGAGCAATACCTCGTAAGAGTTGATATGAACATACGACCAATCTCATTGACATACGACCATCAGCAAATTGCAGCCAGCATCTTTGACATGACGGCGGCCGCCAAGATGTAATGTCAAGTAGGCAAACTGTCATTGGGCACTGCCAGTCCAACCAGATTGCTAAAGCGCATTGATACCTCGTAGACCTAAGTTGGCTGCCTGGATGTAGCGTACTGCAACAGAGTAGAATAACTCTTGACCTGTAGAATTAAATTATCGAAACATGCTTTGCGGCCGTTCTTCCAGGTCACCGTTTACGCCTCTGACCCCTGGCGTTCACATATCCCTTGCATTGACCTATTGGATGACCAGCCCGCCTCCTGAGTCCGTCAAATCTCGGGCCGCGGCGCACCGCAGCATATGGCTTGTGCCACAAAGCAGAGCGTTTGGAATCTTGAGTCTATCGCTTTGCCTTTGAAAGGATCGCTGAAATGCTATTATCCGTACGGACGTACCCAGCCGGTGGCAAATATCCTGCGAAAGGGGAAGCCATGTCGAGTGCAAGCTTTCTAGTTCCAACCAAGAACCCTGCCGTCCCACCAACATCGGAGTCTCCCTGCAGGATATATAGTGAGAGAGCGCATCTGAGGTGCATTGTGGCAGACGCCTCTCGTCTCGGGTACAATGCTTTCATTTGCTAACAAGCAGAAGACCTTAAGGCGGCTCCATTTACGCGAGGCGTCCTCCATGCAACGATAGCTTCATAACGGTTACAAATGCAGCGTTATCACTCACTACGGTCATTGTCGCTTGCGCAATTTCATCAAGGTCCGTCGTACACTTCAACGGCACAGATGAAGCAAGAAGCTCCCCTGTTCTCCTGAGCTTCCGCCGCTCGATTTATAACTGCTGCTGCCCCAAAGGGGGAGAGAGAATTCACGTAGGCGCTAGAAGGGCGGTACTCAGCCGCCGGCTTTTGGGTAGTTTGTAATGCATGTTGTCAGTAGGGTTGTAATATTAACAAACCATATGAAAGAAGGCATGCTGTAGTAAGAAATTCTTTCATGCCTCTGTAGAGAAACTTGACTTGGACGCCCCTGGATCCGGCCACGGACGAAGTCTGTAGTAATATTCCCTGCCTTCTCTTGAGAAAATGGGGAAGTACTGAGGGTATCTACGCTTAAGTAAAGCCACTCGACGTATACGACAATGATCCAGTCAAAGTCTACCTCTAAAACCTCAACGGCGGATTGCTTTTTGCTAAGCTTGCCAGCATTATCGACGATACCGAGCTTGCAATATTGTATTGCAGACACTGGGCCTGATTAACAAACGCCCCGGCCCTTCACATTAGAACTCTGAGAAAGCAGCGATTGCTCTGCCTGCATATTATTAACGGCAATTCCATGGACAACTATTACTTACGTCAATACCAACGTAGCCACATCATTACATGGGCTTCTTGAGACACAAATTTATGTCCGATGGCCTCGCGGAAATTGGATTTCGCACCTCTGATAATAGGAGCTGTCCCGTCCAATTCAACCTAGAACTTCCAAATGTTCGACAATCCGAAAGCATGATGAAAGAGATGATATGATTAATGTATGCAGGAAGACGAATTGAAGGTGCAAGCATCTAATGATGAAGTAAGAAAAGATGACAACACATGCAGAAATGAGAAGACTCTGTCTCACAATCCCCTGGGAGTATATAATTCCTGTAGAAAGTGAAATAAGTCCTATCAAGGAGTAGAAACAATTACAATTATTGTCTAGGAGATACACACCTCGACGCTCTAGAACCTTGAGCACCTTGTTTGACCTCTAGCCGCAAAGGAACCCAATTGGACTCCAAGTTCCCATAAACTACATAGGAAGGGACGCTTAGAGTTGCATAAACATTCTTCGGCACTCCCTCCCTGTACTTTCTACTGCAGAAATGCAAGCAACCTACGTACTGAGGAACATTCTTCTGGATTTACTGTATGTATCGCTGTGGCGCTTGTTAGTGACATGGTTAAGGGTAGGGCTGTGAACTCAGCAACTGCAGTTCAGTAATGGAATTCTTCTCGTCGATGTTCGTTGTAAAGAGTCTACTAGGCGCCATCTGTTAGGGCCATGCGTGTGAGCTCCATTATTATTTTCAGACATATGTTGCTCGAGCTTACACATGTTGAGATACCTTATGCTCTAGTCACCACCCACTACAGGCATATCGCTTCCCATCATTATCGCACATAGCATCATGTGCCCACGCAGGTGAGGCTGACAGACCGTAAGATTATGCAAAAATGTGTATTCAATGCCTATGCCAGTTACTTTAAAGTATGGTCCTGTCTCGCGTTGGAAACTTGGGTAGGAGTTGATATAAAATCCGGTTGTTAAGATAACCACTTGAAAGTAGTTCTGCATTTGTAGCAAGTGATACTCAACTTAGCTCATCGCTTCCACTGGGTCTCAGTGGCGCTGCAAGCTCCTTTACTAACATCAGCTTATTATGATCATCATAGGCCAAGGAACGGCTATACCAGGTACGGAGAGCTCCCAAAGGCATCGTAGACTATAATAAATCAGCTAGGTGGTCGCCGTCTTGCTCCCTAACAGCGGCTGCAATTCCTATATAGATGGGACAAGCCACAAAGACACTATGACCGTTTAGATGAGGTGCTAATCGTAGATTGTATCTGAATTGGCATTATTAAGCAATATGTGGCATCGAAAACCTCTACGGCTATGCTTGTTATGTGTATGTGGGAAGTAACTACTGCTAAAGAGAGAAACTCTGATAGAGGTATAAAGTAATCTGGCGACCTAGGTACCTTGTAGCTTCAGATTGCTAGTAGAATTACGCGGCTCTTATATCTACCACTGCTTAACAAGTCGAAGACTGACCATCAGGTTAAATTACATTGCGGAATGATAGAGACTTAAGGACTCGCGACCGACAAATCGTTTTGCAGATATAGGTGGGGTGTCTTTGCTCTTTGCCCCGATGGCGTGCTGACTCCAAGTTTGACGCGATCCTGGCCTTTAATCACGAAACCGCATTGCATAATGCAGACGTTCTTATACCACAGGGTTTCCCAACGAGGGCCCAATAAAGATAAAGAAACACAGCGGGATATCCATTAGTGACCGGGATTCATCTCTACTATATATAAGGTACTAAGGCTCAGTTGTGACAATAGAAAAAGCAATATCAATACCAGACCACACCGATTAACGACTGCAATCCTGTTATACCGAGTGGACATGGCTGATAACAAGAGCGAAGCGCATGATCCAAGAGCAGACACCGAAGTCACAGACATAGACAATGAGCTCAATGAGAGATCGCTACTCCGCAAGCTGGATGGGAGGCTCCTACCTGCAGTTGGCGTCCTGTATCTTCTCTCATTTCTAGATCGTAGTAATGGTACGATAACACAAGCTCAGATGCTCCCGAGCTCTGCTAATAACTATATCAGTTGGAAATGCCCGTATTGAGGGCATGGTGAATGACCTGCATATGAGTTCGTTATTTGGACCCCCCTTTGCATCTAGGAGGGAATTTTCTAACTCCTCACAGCGGGTAATCAGTATCTTACTGGGCTGACCGTTTACTTTATTGGTTATGTCCTCTTTGAGGTTTGCATCTTATGCATCATTTCCCGATGAGGAGCAACAATGGCTAATGTTACCGCTAGATTCCTTGCAACGTTATACTCAAAAAGACAAGCCCACGTTTATGGCTTCCAACACTGACAATTGCATGGGGCATTGTCGCCACGCTTCTCGGGGTAGTTCAGAATCTTCCGGGATTCCTTGTCGCCCGATTTTTTCTTGGTGTGACTGAAAGCGGGCTCTTTCCCGGCGTTGTCTTCTATCTGTCGATGTGGTACAAGCGCAGAGAGCGACAGTATCGTATTTCTTTGTTTTTCAGCGCAGCGTCACTTGCGGGCGCATTCGGTGGCATATTGGCATATGTTAGTCTTGCACGAGCCTCCGTGGACGAAAGTAAAACTAAATGCAAGTTATCAGGGAATCGGCAAGATGGCAGGCGTCGTTTGGAGCAATGGATGGCGTTGGATTTTCATACTGGTATTTCCCTCGAAACTTATTATCAAGTGCCTGCGCATGTAACAGTTCGATCTAGGAGGGAATTGCGACAGTTATTGTAGCCGCTATTTCGTACTGGTTTATCGAAAACTATCCCGATACCGCCGACTTTCTCACCAAATCCGAGAGGGAGCTCATTCAAACGAGGTTGGCCGCAGACTCCGACGCCATGATGAAGGAGGAGTTCAACTGGGCTGCTGTACTTGAAGCAATTCGAGACCCAAACTGTTGGCTATATAGCTTGGGCTTTCATACAATGAGCCTACCACTCTACACACTCTCCTTGTTCTTGGTGAGTAGTTCCGCTCGTTGCAGTTTGTTATGAGATCCTTTTACTAAACGAAACCTCAGCCGACAATCATCAGCAATCTCGGATATACAGCAGCAAAGGCACAGCTACTGACGATTCCTCCCTATGCAGTGGCATTTGTCACCACAGTAGCAGTCGCCATTGCATCAGAAAGGCTGGGCAAAAGAGCCGTGTTTCTCGCTGGCTCCTCTCTCATAGCCGCCATCGGATACATCATTCTGCTAGCAAACACTGACCCCGTTGCTCGACCTGGCGTGTCATACGCGGGCACCTTCCTCGCCGCCGCAGGGATCTACCCATCAACGGCCCTTGTTCTTTCGTGGCCCGCAATCAATGTGTCTGGGCAGACAAAGAGGGCGATCGCAAACGCCATGCAGATCAGCATCGGAAACCTAGGGGCTGTTTTGGGGACACAGCTATATCGAGCAAATGACGGACCGAGGTTTGTTGTCGGGCATTCAATGGCCCTAGCATATCTATGTGCAAATGCCATTGTGGCTTGTTATATTGGATGGCGATTGAAGGCAGAAAACAAGGCCAGAGCAGATATCTCACCAGAGGTCGAGAATGTGGGCGAGGCGGTCGATTGGAAGGGTGACAAAGATCCACGGTGGCGGTTTTCTTACTAGATAAATTAGATACCAGTCTTCAGTCTATTGGTTCCTTCGAGGGAAACGCGGCACCTGAGCTTGGCTTTTCATTGGTAGGGCGACGACTCAGCCATCATCTGCCACTGAGTCTCCCAGTTCTAACGCTGCCAAGGAGACAAGAAAAAGGAATACTCTCACAGTTTGCATGTCAGTTCGCCGCACTGAGAAGGCTATCTAGGCACTGATTTACTTTTGACTCATACTCATTTGAATACTGACATGAACGATGAAGCGGTTTATTGCCCTATGAAGATGTATATAGCCAAATTGACCACCAATGCGTTCCTTGTCTGCTTATTTCGGCCTTGTCATGTATGGCCAAGGTCCATTGCGGAGATACTCATTGAGGCACACGTTCGACAGACGCATCTACTTGATGGATCAAGAGGCGTGTACCACTTTGCGGAGTCCAAGATCATATATATCTCCTTCTCTCAAGAAATAGAACAAGCCTGAAGGATCGGGAATTGGATTCGCATCGTCGCCGTCGCGCGACCAGTATGTTCCATCATAGATGATGGCGTAGCTGGCGCCAAAGATCTCGGCTGTGTTCTTCGATACATGTACTGCCGTATTCTCGTTTATTGCAATGCCAAGAATGCCTGGCTTGTATTTGAGGACATTAAGCATGTCAAATTGGCGATTGCGTACGAGCACGTGCTGGTCGATGGCCACATTCTTCACATAGGCGAAGCCCTGCTGGTGGTCTCCGATGATGAGGCTATTGCTCTTTGTATCGCCTCGAGCAAGGAAATCTCCCTGGATCGATGCCCCGGCAGAGGATCCTCCGATGACGCCACCGGCATCCAGAACCGCTCGAATCTTTTGCTCAGTGAGCGTTCCTGCATAAGCGTCAACCAGACGCCACTGCCGGCCGCCACCAAACCACACACCGGTGGCGTTCAGGAGTGGTTGGACGAATTCTTCGGTATTGGCAACCTCGGGGTCATATGTATGCAGGACGGTGACACTCTTGGATCCCAGCCGACGGAAGTCGTCCGCATTGGCGGCATTCTGGTCGTAGCTTGGGTCGCCCTGGGCGGTTGGGATAACAACGATAGAGCTATCATTGCCACCAGCAAGATCAATGACTTTCTGCAGGATTGAGTCGTCCAGCGTGCCGCCACCAACGATCACCAGATTCCCATTCTCGGGTCCAACATATTGTGTCGAGTTGTCGGTGGGCAAAGCCGACGTCGCTACGGCCAGCGCGAGAAGAGACTGCAGAATGAAGCGAGCCATTGTATCAGTCAATGGCTAGAGAGATTTGACGGTCCCGCCCTGTCAGAAGATGATGTACTGTTTGGGCCTCAGTCAAAGTGCCTGGCATCTTCCATTGTATTTATACCCTTGACCTTCAATCCGGGGTCTTCATCGCACCATAGTGGAGCAATCTGAGATAGCAAGATGTCACCACAAACTTGTATTTCGCATCACCGTTCGGCTAAATTGCGACTCTCAAATCCACGGCCAAGAAGCCAGATTAAGAAGCTGCTTCGAGCTTCGTGCAGTGCCGAAAGGCGTACTAGAGCAAGCGGATGCATTCTCATACATGAATTATACATATGCTCTGTCTCGCAATTGCTTAGTGTCACAGCTCTCAGCGGTCCAAGTGTAAGGCATGTTGTCCATGATATTCTCGCAACTCCTTGGATCGGAATCCATTCATCATATGGCGCAATGAGAGGGGCGACAAAGCCCAAAAACCTACCCCATACTCCCATATCTATCTCGCTGTCGGGCCAATGCGATACGAGCCTTGGATTCGAGATGTCTTGGCGTCTCTTATATAATGAAGAGGTTACTTCAAGGTGGTATTTGGCTAATGAGCAGGTAGTGGATAGGCAAGCCCTGTACCTAATGCTGTACAGTAACAGTATTCTTAGGGTAACTCTTCTGCCCAAATTCGCCTCCGAGTTCACCATTATAGTCGGCAAGTTCTGTGTTGTCTCCGCGGTAATCCACGAGTATCTCTTCTGCTGAGTGGTACTCGTGTGGCGTTGGAAATATCCGGCCCAGGCCAGAATTGCCACTTTTCCCTGCCTCCAGATTGCCATCTCCTCTCGAACTATAACCCGACAGCCCCAGAAATCCTCTAGCACGTTTGATGAGAGGGCGTAGCGTTGGAAGACATGCGCAAATGATAGCACTGGAACAAAGGTTAGCTGTGGCAATCCAAATATGCGCGAGAGCGTCATCTTACCAAAACAACTCCAGGGTCGTCCAAATAATCTGGTCCACCGTGTTCCAAGTAAGGTCAGACAGGTCCAAAGAGACAACAATGGCAAGACGGAAGATCGTGACAAAACACGCGCTATAGGTAGCAGAGTCAGCATGATCTTCATTCTTCCGCCGACCGTTGCTAGGTCAGTACTCACAACCCGCCGAAGACCATGGTCAATGCCAGTAGAATTTTCTGAAACATGGGAACTTTCAGGTTCCAAATGTATGGCATGGGCAACACCATAAGCCCGAAATCGGTCACAATACTGCCGACTGCGACACCAACATAAAAGCCGTGAAGGTCAATGCAGTTCTGATTCGTTCCGTCCCAGAAACTACTGATTGGCCAGCAGGTTCGGATAGATGGGATAAACTGTGATGAGGGAATCTTTGAGTAATTGAACGTGAAAAAGTCAAGTATAGACGCGAGCATTCTTCACTTACAGTACCGATAGTCCAGGCGATGATGATGGCTGTAAATCCATGCAAGAAATACCTCATGTTCGATGTTCCAAAGATGCGATAGTATAAGAATACGATGGAGAGTCTTGCGCAAGCCAGCCCTGTCGTGTAGACAATCTCGTTTGCAACAATGGTCTGGAGAAAGCGAGAAAGGTTCTGCGGGTCCTCCTGTGCGACTACCACAGCATGCCGGCCTAAACCAAAACGGAGATAGAGCATGGTGGTGATGTAGCCCCCAATACCACAAATCTACCCCCTATTGTCAGCGCAAAGTTCTCGTCATTCCTGGAGAGTGAACGGATAATCCAAACTTACTCCAGCGATTATCGCGAGCCAATCATCCCACCACAGAGGTTTCCCTGCAAACCTGGCGGCAATAAGACGTCCGGAAACAGCCAGAAGACTCAATGCAAAAAACACAGTGGCGACAGCATACACCTCTGCTTGTCTGTTTTCTGCTAAAAATGCAGCACTCTCAGGCGGAGCATTCGTAGTTGACATAGCTTCAATCTCTCCACTTGGGCAAGATTAAAACAACGCTGCAGTGTTAGTAGGGTGAGTCAAGGCGGAAAAGGGAATGCTTGGGAGAAGAAAACTCATGAGGTAGTTGCGGCTTTACATGAGATATACATATACCGCTGCGCTGAACTTGGCTGGGATGCCATTCTCACGTTCAGACAAGGTTGATTTACCGAGCCATGTCTGAACATGAGTCGCAAAGGGGCTGGAACATTGCATACGGCAAGGATGCCGTTAGTCTTCGCAAGATGATCGAGACTTAGCGCACAGGAGGCGAAAGTCAAGTCGTAGTGTAGTGTCAGCGCGGCACGCGGAGGTCTTCCGGACGATTTGACAAGTGCGAGGTTGTTTCAGAAGTTTGATATGGAGCTTGTAGTTCTACTTTCTAGTTTCCGGATAATAATTACAGTCTTTGTGGTTCAGGTCTAGTCTAGTTCTTGTAGCGTTAAGCTCTATCTACTCAGCAGGTGCGTCGGCTATGCAAGCAAGCAACGAGATGGTTGCGTTAACTGTTTGCTCACAAGTGCCAGCATAGAAGGCATGAGACGCCTCTTCAACAAGGACAGTGTGCTTAATCCCGGAGATATCTGCATAGTACTTCTGAGCCTCCAATGGGAGAACTCGGTCACCCCCACAAAGTATGTATCCAGCTAGACCTTTGTAGTTTTCATCCTCCAACGGAGAATATGAAATAGGCGTGTTAATGGAACAATAGGCTTGAGGTTTGATCCTGGCGATCCATTTATCAGCCTCAGTCTTCGAGATGTTGTGGTACATGTGCTTTTCTGCTTCAATCAACAAAATTTGCCCTCTTGGTTCCTGCCGGAATAGTCAACGTCAGCTTGGTCATGTAATCACTATGACAAAACGAGTTGGGTAACCCACGTCCATCACCACATGTGGCGGCAGGTTTTCAGGCGTAAGTCCCATCATGTCAAGCAAGGATTTTCCAACTGCCGGCGTCACGGCGGTAATGTAAACAAGGCCTGTTACTCCTCCTTGCAGGCCGGCTTTCTTCCTCTCCCTAGCACTTAGCCCAGCCACTGCGGCTGAGCCGTAAATGCCACCATAAGAGTGCATGAGAAGGACAACATCTTTGCCTTCGGCAAGCAGTGGGAGGAGGATGTTCTGCCTTAGGGATTCAGAATCCTTGTCCACCGTGCTATTGAAAGGATCCTCATCGAGGATACCAGGTGCATCCTGACTGATAAACGGATATCCCTTTTCCTTGAACGCGGCTTCAAGATCCTCGAAGCAGCTTGCTGGATGCCACATTCCAGTAACGCCGACTATCGTTGGCAACATCGTAGAGGAGGGGAGAGAGAAAGACGGTTAATGTTGTGGATAATGTCGGAGTCGAGATTGACAAGGTAGGAAACTAGAGTATCTGAAGCAAGGAGCAAGAGGATTGCCTTGAGTTATACTTGGTCCTTTTCGGCGTTCTCCTAAACTAGCAGAGGATACGCAGCGCCTTCTGCGTCCCCCTTGGTAAGGAGAGTAACTCTCTAACTGACATGAATGATAGACCAGCAGTACCTTGAGTCATGATCCCCTGTTTTTTTCTTGGAGCCTCGGTTCAGTTGTTGAAATTTCAATTTCTACTGATGGTCTGACAAAGTGACGCCAGGAAACTGGGCGTGGTTGGCGCCATATCACATAAAGACGGCAATCTTCAGCCTGTTATTGATTGTCATTATATTTGACGTGATAATAGACTGCTATGAGTATACACCGCTTCACTAGTTGTATCCTATTTCTCTGTAGTGATAATTACACTTGTACACATTGGAGGAGAGTGCCTGAGCTATTCACACATCTCCAGCCATGACTCGACGGCATTGAGAGAAAGTTGCGGGGCATAGCTCACCGGCAGTTGTTGCCGATTGCATGGATACCCCCTGTACCATTACTTGGATTTCCTCCAGGGCTTGAGTCAGTTAATAGTTAGCATATGGTTTCATGAAGCAGATGAGTAAATAGGAGAGCGCAAAGTAATTACTACGAGTCAGTACGGTTGTCTTTTATCTTCTCGCCATCTGGGCCTTCGTCTCAGGGCTGAAACTCGTGGCCGACATATGCGGCCATGGGTTCGAAGTCCGCCATGCTGGTGCATCATCGAGCTCAGTCGTAGTACCACTTGTAGAGGGGCAACTGGACAGGGCTAACCATAGAGGCCTAGGACTATGACGGCGCGAGGTATTCATCCGGCCCGGCTCTCGCGCCGCCAGCCCTCTGGCTTCTCCGGACCAGGCTCGGACTTTTGATGAGGCTGCTACATGGTATTCCAGAATCCTGCGAGGTATACTACGTCCATGGAAGTCTGAGTCGTGACCTTTGGTCAATCCGTGCAAGGTAGAGAGACGATACAACGACCTGGTTATCGCACGCCCAGTATGATCAGCTATCGCACACCCGATATGATCAGCCGCTGTCTTATATCAGTAGAAGCAGCTGACGTCCATGTTCCCTCGAGCCACTCCCTGCACACTCTGTGGATGAGGGAGACTGATGTGTTGGCCGTCAGACGGATCTACGCGAGCGGACCGCCGTTGAGCGCGTAGCCTCTTCCGTCCTTGGTCGCGCACAACTCTTGGCATTCCCAGATCACCTAATCTGCAAGGACCTGTTAGAGAAGGAGCATGCTCTGCGCTTTATTACTCCTGCAGACAACAGGCCCGCGTGTCTAAAGCGATTCCCGGCCTAGCGGATTGGCAGTGGCCCATCCCGCGCGGCCCCTGCGCTCGGAATGCTGGAGCTGAACGACCAGGTACAACTAGTACTACTCAATGGCGTCGGTCCGGTGTCGGGGTCGTGTCTCTCGCACAAGCCGCTTAGAAAGCTTTTGCCGTCGAATTTACTGCGCGCGGCGCCTCGGACGAGGTACGCCTCGTAGTAGACTGTAGCCAGTTCGGCCGAGTCCTTCTGCCAGCCATACGAGTACATGATGTCCAGAAGTAGTAGATGTTCAACCTCTGCGCGACCGAGATGCCATCTATGAATGACCGAGGCAGACGTGACATGTCGATTTGTGGTCCTCTGGGTCCGCCAAGTGTCGTGCGCGCAGGGATATCGTGCCTGTCCCCGCCAACCCACCCAGGTCTCCGGTGTGGCTGAAGCTGTCCATCTTGCGGCGGATAACCACAGGAGGTAACACACTCTCGCAGAGATCGACAAAGCGGGTGGGAAGTCGGGCTGATGCTGCAACTCGTGATCTGTACTCCGTGGTTCTTGTTGTAGTTCTGCAGCCGCGTCCTTGTGGAAAGCATAATGCGAAAGGGTGTCGTCTGCGCGATCAGCGTGCTTTAGAGGCTCACCAACACTTACGCCGTTTTAGTACAGCTTAATGCCTACGGTATTCTCATAACTGAGTCGGTCGGCGTCATGTAGCTCGGTATCTCCCCAACCAGCAGCTTTCTTTTACATGGATCGGTCTTTATAAGCGCCACGCCCTCAGATCCAGGGCACAAAGACCGCAGGTGCCTGACGACCCCCTTTGAATAGTCAAGATTGTGGCGCCAGCCTAGCCGTCAATAAGGATCGAGCTGCCGTAATAGGTGGTCTCTGCCTCGTTAGCTAGCGTTTGCTGTATCGCGTTGTGGCTGCGAGATTTTGGCATTTGCTGCATAGCGCCGTTTTGCAGAACGTGGTTTGCGGTGGCCGTTGTGGTAGAAAAAGCTTTGCTGTGAAGTACCTTGGTATTGATTCTTATTTGTGAGTATGAACCAACATCTTCAAGAGTGTCTTGCAAAGGCTGAATAGCATATCGAGATTAGGCGTCCACTTTTTGACATATCAGGCAGCTGGGAAGACGGCTCTTCCTCGGGAGAGTAGATGTACCTTCTCATGCACTTGTTCGGGGCCAGCCGTATATTACCATTGAAGCGAGAAGCGCAAGCTTCACCGGGCCGCTTCTCAGATACTCGGATATAACAGCTGGAGAATAGTAAGCCCGCCAGGTAGACTCTTTCAAGGGCTTGCTTAATTTGGCAAGCTCCAGGGAGTACCTTGCTGCCGGTTACTAGTAGTAAATTTCCAGGCTTATGCTCGTAGTAATTACTCCGCACTTCCAAACCCACTTCTGTCCTCCTCCTGATTATCTCTCAACGCTTCTCAGTATCCGGAGTTGGGCGATAGATTTTGGCGTGAGAGTCGCATTGATACGCAGTATAGCTCACACCCTTGGTTGTACAGAGGGTGGACTTGCCTTCACCGCCCTTCTACGGAGTATTGTCCCTTGAGACGAGATTCGCCATGGTTCCTCCTCAGATCACTTCGACTTTCCACGTCCACAGCGGACAGAGCCACCTCAAGTGGTCCAAGTCTATTACACCAGTGTTATCTGTGGACTCAAAGGATGTTGTAAACTTTGACACCATTGATGGGAGCAATGGGCAGATCACACCCACTTCGACTATCGAAGACGTTCTCAAATTCAAGGCTGAGCTAGCAGATCCTCTGTTCGGGCCTGTTTACGTTCGCGGCGCGGAACCGGGCGACACTCTCGAGGTTGAAGTGTTGGAGCTCAAAACTGCCGCCTGGGGATGGACTGCCCTTGTACCTGGTTTTGGTCTCCTGACAGACGACTTCCCAGAGGCTCAGCTCAAAATATGGCAACTTGATCCCCGCGGTTCATATGCGACATTTAAGGACGGTATCCGAATTCCAACCCATCCCTTCCTTGGAGTCATGGGGGTAGCCCCGGCGGAGGGCGAATTCCCTACAATTCCACCCCTTGACACGGGAGGAAACATCGACACCCGCCACATCATAGCTGGGGCGAAGCTCTTCCTACCCGTCAGAGCTCCAGGTGCATTGTTTAGTTGCGGGGATGGACACGCAGCTCAGGGTGATGGTGAAGTGTGCGGGACAGCCATTGAGACTCCAATGCAGGTCAAGCTACGACTCACGGTCAGAAAGGACATGTCTTGGGTTACTTCTCCTAATTACACTGCGCCCTCATCAGCACTTACTCTAGCTGAAGACAGAGGATACTATGCCGTCCTCGGCATTGACTCGGATCTGTTAGAAGCTACGCGCAAGGCCGTTCGCGGAGTTATTGAATACCTGGTTCAAACGAAGAACTTGACGCGGGTGGAAGCATATATGCTTGCTAGTGTTTCTATCAGCCTACGAGTTTCCGAAGTAGTAAACGTCCCTAACTATGGAGTTTCTGCTAGCGTGCCGCTGCATATCTTTATAGATGCTTCTTAGTATATCTTAGAGCACTATAGGGACGGAATAGGGAGCAGCTTTAGATAAAGGATAGTAAAAGAGAGATAGTAAAGAAGAGAGAGATAGTAAGAAGAGAGAGATAGTAAAGAAGAGAGAGATAGTAAAGAAGAGAGAGATAGTAAAGAAGAGAGAGATAGTAAGGTGTAACAAACCAGTGTCCTTATAATTAGTAAGAACAGTCTTCCTAAGGGATAAACCTAAGGTTTAAGGGTTTATATTAGCAGAGAGGTTAGGTTAGATATATTAGCAGTAACTTATTATGCAGCTAGGCAATACACTTTATATAGTAAATGTCTAGGTTCTAAAGTGTATTATAATTACAGTGCTATATTAATAACTGTCTATTTAAACTATCTAAATAAGTAATATAAATAAATCCTTATATAGCTAGTTATCCTATAAGGCTTACTTAAGCTTACTAGATAGTAAGTAAGCTATATATCTGCGCTTACTCTAGCTTACTTATATACTTATAAGCTAATCTCTAATTAGCTATTATATATATATTATAGCTTAATTTCTTAAGGTAAGTGTAATAAACTAGTGTCCTTATATAATAAACCAGTCGGCCTTACTAAGGTAGGTTATGCTTCTTAAGGGAGAAACCGTTTAAATAAATGGCTTTAATAAATAAGCTATTTAGGTTTCTATTAGCAGAAAGGTTAGGTTAGATCTTAGGCAGTTATAATAGTTATGCAGCTAGTTAATATACTTCTGCAGTAAATGTCTAAGTTTTAATCTATTTATATTATAAATGCTATGCTATGCTATGTTAATAACTATCTATCTAAACTATCTAAATAAGTAATATAAATAAATCCTTATATAGCCAGTTATCTTAACGTCCTTAATATACTTAATCCTTAAGTTTATTAAGTTATCCTTAATTTACTTAATAGTTAAGTTTATTAAGTAGTTCCTGATTAGTTAAACGGCCTGATGTTTATCTAGTGCTGTTTACTAAGGGTGGCCTATTATTATAACTATAAGGTTAGGTTATAATATAATATCCCCCTCCTATTAGTCTTATCTTTAAGACCTTGCTTATTCTATTAAAACCTTATAGTTCCCTTACTTCTTTATAAGTGTTTTCCTATTTACATATCCTTTTCTTTTTATACTAACTATAATAGTTAGCAGTAAGCGTAAACGTTTTAAGTTTTTTTAAGTACCTTAGCAGTAAGCTTTAGAGCAGTTAATCTTGCTTAGACTGTTAATTATAAAACCTTACTAATACTATAAGAAATATGGTTTTTAGTGTTTTATATTAAAGACTGATTCTCTTTGCTGTTTAAGCTATGTTTATTCCTAGCAGCCTAGCTATAAAGCTTTTAGTCTATTAGCATCTTAACTTTATTATATAGCTAATAAAGGTGCTAATCTTAACTTTAAGCTAGAAAAGGCTAAGGAAGCGTGGCTTAAAGCAGGTGCATGCATTAAACGTCTTTATATATAAAAGAAGGAATAGGCTAAGAAAATGCAGAGGGCTATTGCCTATAGGATTAATAACCTAGAAAAGTTAGAGCGGGTAAAAAAGGCAGAGCATAAGGCAGCAGAGGCTATATGCTAGGTAGAGGTATTAGTGCCTAATCCAGCTAGTTCTAATATCTTAGCTTCTTTTATTAACCTTATTAATTAAGACTAGTTTCTGTTAGATCCCCTATTATTATCCTTTATAGGTTTAACTATTAATAAAAATTATTAACTAAGGCCTTTAAGTGTCTAAGATGCTTAATAGGTTCTTAAGTATTATTAGCTTTATTATAGTTTTTCCACTTTATAAAATATTTTAGTTATTAGGTTTCTTTATTAAATTTTATTTAAAGTATTTATTTAACTTTATATTTAAGTTCTTTACCTTTAATTATAATTTTATTATAAATAATTTCGCTTATTTCCTTATCTACTACTGCTTTCTTAAGTAGTAATATATAGAAAATATTATATACACTTTATCCTTATTATCCTTCTTTTACTAAAAGGTTAAGTTTATAGTTAACTTTTCTAATTTATTTTAAAACCTTATATAGTCTAAGTTTCTTAAAATTAAGCTTATTACTTAGCTAATTTATTTTAATATTTAGTTATTTTTCTTTATATATATGCTAAAGCAGGTAGACTATATCTCCTTCTTAAAGAATTAGTCTTTTAATTCTTCTTTAATCTGCATACTTACTTATTCTTTATTATATAAATTTAAGTTATATTCTTATCTTATTATGCAGTTCCTTTAGTTAATCTATTATAATAATTACTTTTTTTACATTTTTGCCTTATAATAATAGTTAAAATACTTTTAGTTTAAATCTATAGTTTATATAGAATAGTAATTTACTTATTAATTCTACTAGTATACTATTATATAAGATTTATACTATTAGTAGGTATTTAACCTAGTTATTTTATTTAAAGTTAATATAGTATTATAAGTATATCTTAATAATCTAGTTAATCCTTTCTATTTATCTATCTATTTATAAGTAATAAGCAGTACTAACTTTATAGTTTAATTTAAGTCTAGCTATAAGTAATTGCTAAAATTTTAAGATAAATATTATTCCTCTATTTAAAATAATTTTATTTAGTAATCTATAGTTAGTATAGATATATTATTAAAACTAATATGCTAAGTCTTTAGCTATACTACTTTCTTTTACTAGGATAAAGTAGCTTATTTTTATTAGTTAATTAACTATAATAAAAATGCTGTCTTAAGTGTTCTTTATTATTAGTTCTTTTAAAGGTAGAAGTTTAATAATATAGTGAAATAAGATTAATTCCTAGGGCTATATTAAAACCTATAAGGGTTATAACTTTCTATAAGGAAGATAGTGTCTTGCTTTTACTTATCTATATATAATATATTCTAAAATAACCTTTTAAACTATTTTCTTAATACTATTAAACTTATAGTATTACTAAATTTACTAGGTGGTTTTCCTTATTCCTTAATATCTATATATAAGGTGCTTATAAATTATCTTAACCACTTTCTTCTACAGTTTATCTAGTACCTAAATAAGTTTATTTATTATTAAGTAACCCTTCTTTATAAAGGTGCCTTTTAGAAACTGTTCTTTAGTCTAGTTCTTAACATGCTCTTTAATATTATTAATAATTAAATTATCTTCTTTAATTCTAAATATAGTATTTAATTTTTTTAGTACTAGGTCTCTGTTATAGTCTTTTTATAGTACTTATGCTTATAGGTTAGGGATTTCTTAGAAATAGTCTAGTCTTTAGCTAAAAGCATTAGCTTTACTATTCTCCTTTCCTTTATAATATTTAATAATTAGGTTAAACTCTAAAAGGCGTTTATAGTACCTAACTTATTATTATAAGAGTTCTTATATTATAGTAAAGTATATAATGTTTTTATAATCTATAAGGATTATTATAAAAAACTTACTTCCTTAATAGTAGTTTCTTTAATGTTTTTTATTAAGTGCTATATAGATTGCTTTAAATTCCTTATTATAAATAGGATATTATAGTTTAGCTTTATATAGCTTTTTTAAAAAATAGGCAACTGGTCTTAGTTTCTTATTTTTATCTAGTTAGCTTAGTACTCTTCTTATAATATAGTCTAATATATTAACTTTAATTATAATTAGTTTATTAAGGTTAAATATAACTAGTACTAGATTGCTAATTAAAGCTTCCTTTAGTGTGTTAAATGCCCTTTATATATTAGGTGCTTATAAGAATTTCCTTTCTTTCTTTATAAGTTCTATAAGTAGTATTATAATCTTTATAAAATTCTAGATAAATTATCTATAGTAATTTATAAGTCTTAAAAAGCTTTAGACTTCTTTTATATTCTTTAGTAGTTGCTAGTTGCTAATAGCCTTAAGTTTCTCTAGATTTATATATACTTCTCTAGGCATAATAATATATCTTAGAAATATAACTTTCTATTAGTAAAATTAGTATTTCTCTAGTTTTACTAGTAAATTTACCTTTTCTAGTGTTTTTAATATAAGAGTAATATGCTTCTTATATTCTTTAAGAGTTTTTAAGAAAATAAGAATATTATTAAGGTAAATAATAATAAATATATTAATAAATTCCTTTAATATATAGTTAATTATTTTCTAAAATATTACAGGTATATTAGTTAATCTAAATAGCATTACTAAGCATTTAAAGAGTCTATAGCATATTCTAAACGCTATCTTCTATTTATCTCCTAGTTTAATATAAATAAGGTTATAGGCCCCTTTAAGGTTAAGTGCTATAAACTATTTTACTTTAAATAACCAATCTCTAATTTTAGTTATTAGCAGTAAAGGTATAATATCCTTTTTTATAATCTTATTAAGTTTTTAGTAGTTAATAATAAGTTATAGTTTGCTGTTCTTTTTTAATATAAACATTATAAGGTATCCTGCTAATAATTTTAATAGCCTAATATATCCTTTTTATAATTAATTATTAATCTATTCTTAAAGTGTCTTAAGTTTATTTTAATTAAGATTATAAATCTTATAGAAGGTTAGATTCTTCTTATCCTTTAGCTCTATTTTATAATCCTATTTTATATTTAATAGTAATCCTGTTTTAAGTTCTTCTTAAAATACTTTTTTAAACTTATAGTATTTACAGGGTATATTAGCTATTTTATTATTCTTAGGCTTAACGTCTCTTACTTATTCTAGCATAGTATTAATAAACTATAAGTCTTATATAACTATATTTAGTGTCTTCCTAGCCTGTTTTTATAAGCTCTTTTATTATTTATTATAGTGTTATAATATAATATCTATTTCTTTATTAAATCTGACTTTCTTCTGTTATAGCATCCTTTTAGCCTTTTATTCTAGTAGTGTCCTTTTAGCCTTTTTATTTTTCTTTCTGTTTTTTCTCTTTTTTTTAGTTTCTTATATTTCTAGTGTTTTTATAGCTTTTCTAAGTAATTATATTATCCTATTATATAATATAATAGCTTTTAGCGCTTAAGCTAGGGATATTATAATATC